CATATTGTTGATTATCTTGCGTGTGGTTGCCCTTGGTATCGTCTGCCGTTCCGCCTTAAGTGCCACCCCAAACTGGGCCACGTTAGGGGTGCTGGATCTCTGGCGTACCCTCCCACAGATGCTGTAATTGGGGTGTGTCAGGGATATACGTGGACCAGTCCAATGTCCACATGCCCTCTCGTCGGAAATAATCGTTGACGATCTGGGCACGATGTGATCTGGCACTGGCATTTTTGAAGTTCAAAATTTCTGTCGATAATTCTAGCAAATGGAACAATGACAGGACTATGGTGGCTGAGAGGGGACATCGCTTTCTCGCTTTATCGCTTTCTCGCTCTATCGCTTTCTCGCGAGATTTTTCCAAGTCGCATTTCCAATTATACTTATGGACGGAGAATGTTGAAATTTTCTCACTATCTACTTAAAAATAATTTAACAGTACAGACATAGGTGCTTTTATAACAATCCACGTATTTCTGCGTACAAAAGGATTTGATTGATTTATGCCCCTATTTAGCTATTGGATCCCCCGCCCCCAGGTCAAGGTATCGAAACAAATAGCAAATAACACCGCTCAACAGCGCTGAGAAGTACGTACTTCCTAAAAGGCAATAGTGTTTTCCTAAAAACAACGCTTATATCAATGCTTATTCTGTTTGCGGAGTAGATGTCATCAAAGTGGAAGTCCTCACCCAAGCAATGGTAATACTACCGGATATTCATTATGTAATTTCTAGTTTTGGGATGACATATTGTTCTCAGTAACCGTAATGTGGAAATAGATAGTTGATTGGTTTTATATTCAAGTTGGTATTTCCGCTATTCAAAGTGTTCAGTGAGGCCGTCTTATCAACAGTCATTTCTGCGACATAAATGCTAAGTTTAATTGCCGCATTCGACGTAATAAGCGCCCCGCTCTAATAAACGCCCACGGCGTTATTTGCTAATATATTGGCTAGTGAACAATCCCAGCACCCCTCCCGATTGATTAATGTACACAAGACTTATTTATTCGCGTATAATAAGCACTCGTTATATGCACACTTAATTATGGGCAATTAAATTCGGGAAAAATATATCTGTCGTACATAAACATTTCAGGCTGTCAGCATAAACCCAGAAATTCATCTTTCAATTCAACTTTTTTTACACCAAAATAATATTCTAATTTTGAGAGCGCCCTGTGCGCTTATTACGTCGAATGCGGTAATTAAGTCTACGCTAATTTGTTTGCATTTATTATTAACTCTAACGTTAATTTCAAGATTTACAGTACATACTATTCAAAAGAAGTTAAAGAACACCCGATTCCTTCATATGACTAGTCATTAGAGGAAGCGATAGAGCGATAGAGCGATAGAGCGAGAAAGCGATACTTCCCATAATGCCGTTCATTAAAACGGTTTTGCTGACATTTAGTGATCCATTCCTGTAATTCTCACCGCTATTTTGCCTCTTATGATTAGATTTTTTAAACATCTTGTAGTAGATAGATATGTTACAAAATACACACGTAATTTTTTCTCGTTTAGCTTGTATATTTTCTTGTAGTGTAATAAATAAGCAAGATTCACAGAATACAGATAGTCACTGTTCATATTTTCATTTTTTTTCATAGTATCCTCCCCTCATTCCTCCATCAATCTTAAAACTGATAATATATTGACAAATAATTGTCAGTTTTATTAGCCAGTTTGTATTGTTTTACAACGTCCAAAGAATTATTTTTTTCGGTCATTAGATTTGGAATTGAAGCCGAATATATGCTCGTCCGATTTCGGGATCACAATTATGTTCATGCAGTTAAGTTGCATGCACATTATGCAAACAAAAGATGTACATGTACACAGTTATGTTTCCCTTACAAAATACAGATACTTTAGATATATGTCTCTATCTTAAGTCATATATACGACTTTCGAGAGCGTCATTAACCCGTAACCCCATTCCTTGGACAACAGAAATGAAATGCGTCGTAGATATTTTTTAAAAACAACTCGTTTCTTATAATGACTTTCGATCAAACTGTCTTCGGGAATTAAATTTAATGCTAAAGTGCTTGTAAAATATAGTTTAACTTTCCCGCCAGGAGAGACTAGATATCCAATTATAGTATAGGCTCAGGCAGGAATATACATATTTAAGTAGCAATTCTCTATCCATTTTAACTGTATGGTTAACAATTGTGCGTTCTGATGTGAGTTCTGTAGTTATCTACTACCGGACACACACACAAACACATACACACATACATAATTTTGACAAAACTATACTTAAGATATACATAGCATATTATAATGATAGCTGATTTAATATATGTTATAGATAATTATAGTAATGCATTTCGTATTGTTATCAACCTTAACTATGTGGCCACACTAATTATGTCTTTCCATATGTGTAGTTAACACAAGTACACATATCAACTGTGGTAACGCCACAGCGATGGGGGCAGTGGGGTAGCCAAGTGGTTAAAGCGTTCGATCGTCAACCCGAAGACCCAGTTCGATTCCCCACATGGGTACAATGTGTGAAGCCCATTTCTGGTGTTCCCCGTGATATTACTGGATTATTGTTAAAAGCGACGTGAAACCATTCCCACTCACTTACTCACAGCGGTGTTTATCAAATTACTATATGCAAGTACATATATTTGTAGATTTGCACAAGACAAGAAACACAATTCAAGTTAAATGTCAAAAAGAACATTTACGGACAACCAAATTATGACACACTGTAACATCATATACTACCGAAAACTAGTTATAGAACATCCAAAATTATAAGATTGTATTTTTGCAAAACAATCAGCCATGACTAATTAACCAAAGTCTTTTTAACTTTTATATATAGTATATATTTAGATTTTAACCTGATTTATTTAGAACGTATTGCCATGATCTGCCATGCGCTTACGGCGAGATGGTCACATACAACTGAAAAGGGCTATAAATAAATCAATTATATTATACGCAAAATTCGGTGGATTGTTTTAAAATCACCGACGTCTCTACAGTTAAATTATGTCAGATAGTGAGAAAAGTTCAACATTACCTCCCAATTGCAGCAAATATCACATGCGGCCCCTATAGTGGTCAAGAGGGGATATTGCTTAACCGCGAGAAAGCGATAGAGCGAGAAAGCGATAAAGCGAGAAAGCGATAGAGCGAGAAAGCGATAAAGCGAGAAAGGGATAGAGCGAGAAAGCGAGAAAGCGATAGAGCGAGAAAGCGATAAAGCGAGAAAGCGATAGAGCGAGAAAGCGAGAAAGCGATGTCCCCTCTCGGCCACCATACAGGACGCAATATGTCGTCAATATATCGCTGGCCAGTCAAATGTCCATTTACAAAAACCAGATCAGTTCGCCTGTCATGTGTGATACCGCCCCACACCCTGACACTACTGCCCTCATAACGATGATGGGTTGCCCTGACATACCACCCGCCGCTACGTCGCCAAAAAACGTTTTCTGCCGTCTGTGAATCGGGAGTAACACCTTGATTCGTCAGTAAGAGGTGTAATTAAACTGCGATTTTGGCTAATCCTCTTCTGATCGATTAATTTGCGCACATCCCGTTCCTGGTGTTACCTAGCCCATCCCAATCTTTGCCACCTATGGTTATAGCTGTTAGGGTTTATCCGGCTTTTAACGGTAGATATTGAAATTCGCCTTCCTGTTATTGTACGGAATTCTCTGTTGATAACAGGAGTAGATTTGAATCTATTGCGTAGTGCAATTAATGTAATGAGATGATATTGCCTAGGACTAAAGTGTCGTTTTTTAGACCTTCCACGCCCAGGTCTCATTGCAACCCCATCCGTTTGATGGTACTTGTCTCACAGTTGAGAAATGACACTTTTTGATTTGCCAAAACATTCGGGCGACTTGGGATATTGACGTCCCAACAAACCGCCATATATACGTCTCGGAAATGTATTGACGTCTGTGTGTACGTGCACCACGTGCCCTTCATGCATTTTGAAATTTCATTGTGATTAGATGTCGGTTCAGATGCAATGCCACAGTATTGTAAATGTACACCTCAACGATAGCTACCTTCAAATAATGTATTCCTTTATCCCTATACTGTAGGTGGTATATATATAGTTGTGTGAAATTTGTGAATAGTCTTACATTTTTTTGCCAGGGAAGCGCTTAAACTAAAAAGATGAATATTACTCGATAGCAAAAGGCACAGATTCAGCATTTGCCTGGACCCATACAAAAATGTCACTGATTACGAAGATGTTAAACGAGAGACAAAGTATTTTTGCCTTGGCTTTAGAAAGATATCATGAATAGAAAAAATACACTTTCCCGCTTTGTTTACCTTATTAAGGCAGCATATGGGACTCACTATAAATCTTCGAGTAAGCATCGTGCTAACAATTATTTGGGTAGGTGACCATAACTGTCATTTAACCAGTTCACTTCACCTTCACTTTTTTGTTTTGTTTGTTGTTTAACGCCGCACTCAGCAATATTCCAGCTATATGACAGCGGTCTGTAAATAATCGAGTCAGGACCAGACAATCTAGTGATTGACACCATGAGCATCGATCCACGCAATTGGGATACGATGACATGCATCATCCATCCAAGTCAGCGAGCCTGACCACCCGATCCCGTTAGTCGCCTCTTACGACAAGCATAGTCGCCTTTTACGGCAAGCATGGGTTGCTGAAGACCTATTCTACCCCGGATCTTCACGGGTCACCTTCACTTCAACGGCCTCTCATATAGGCCTATATGAATTTTGAGAGTTAAATTACTTACTGAAGAGTGTATCCAGTGTAGTCCACAAAACGTTTTTGACATCATACTTATACTGAAGCCTACTTGCGGCTAGATTGTGATGCTCTGTGTCACCACTATCGTCTTGTCTGATATGCATACAACATTCGTTCGTTTTCAACTACCTGGGATCCTGTCATGCGTAGAGCAGGGGACAAAACAGTCCGTCACGTGATATTATGACAGTCTCGCGAGATTTATGACGTCACCATGACGACAGTTTCACTACTGATATCGCCATTGTGATTATCATACTGCTACTATATCCTGCTTCGTTGCTGCTGTTCTTTGCCTCGTATTTTTCACAACTTCGTCTGGAAACACTATGAGCTCATACTCTCAAGGTATGTCATCACTTCTGAATTAGTTATCTTGTCTTTTCTTCTTTCTTTTATGACTTATTCAGTGTTAGAAATTGGCACTAGTCCTATAGTCCTTGCCAAACTGCCCAATAGTAAAGGTATCATAAGGACTAGGCCTAGTAGAAATTTGCTATTTTAAGGGTTTTGCTACATGCTATCATTATAAGGACTAGTGGACTAAAATGTTAGTTTCTGCCGCTGTTATTTACTTGCTGAATCTGAAGTTGATCTCGCCTATGAAAAAGAGGAAACTTCCAGAACATACTGCCGGCTTGTGCTTTGTCTTATGTTGAGATCCGTTTCACGTTAGTTAAGATCGCCTTTTCAGTCTCCCCTGTTAATAAACAACACATTCATAGTTTGTTTAATTTATCTTTTCAATTTGAAATACTTTTAGATCTAGATCTAATCATATGATGTCACTTTGGTCTGTTAGTAATAATGGTCTAAGGACAGTTAGGCTAATAATGTTTTCGGCGATGAATGGTGCAGTGGTTCTTGATTACTATCAGAATTAAATTTCTGAATCACTAATTAACTCTCCTTAAACTCTTATTAATTCGTATTCCTGTCCAAAATGTAGGATATTTGGCTCTTAATCTTATTAGCCCTAACAGTTACTTCACTTGGGCATTTTTAGGTTACGACAGAACAATTTGCCATCTTTTTGTAAAAGTGAGGATTTTGTATGTTCTTAGATAACAGGCAAGTTGTCAGTAGTAGCCCAATATCAAGGTACTTTAGACCATATCATGATGGTTGTGAATACTTTTGTCTACAACACAAATTATATCATTATAGTAACACGGCGACAGAAACTAACAGTTTTAGTCCACTAGTCCTCATGATCATAACATACAGCAAAACTCTTAAAAAGGGCAAGTTTCTACTAGTCCTTATGATACCTTAACTGTTGGGCAGATTTGGCAAGGAATATAGGACACATCTTCAAATGAACAAACTTAACTAACTTAGGGTTCCAACCCACCTGTTGACCCCTGAAGATCCGGGCAGAGAATAGGTCTTCAGCAATCCATGTTTGCAGTAACAGGCGACTATGCTTGTCGTACAGGCTCGCCGACTTGGTTGATGCATGTCATCGTATCATCATTGTATAGATCGATGCTCATGATGTCAATCATTGGATTGTCTGGTCCAGATTCGATTATTTACAGACCGCCGTCATATAGCTGGAATACGCCTGAGTGTGGCGTTAAACAACAAACAAACCATACCGGTTGTTTCCTACAGTGCTTATTGGGTATCCATTCTGATATGCCTTTCAGTGTTATCATGAAAGTTCTCAAACTGTTGTCTTCTAACTATAATTCTTCATATGTTAGGAGTAACATATAGATGAAAAAAGCGCTCCTCTGTCCAGCGTTAGAAATTGGTAGTCCTGTAGTCCTTGCCAAAGTGTCCAATAGTTAAGGTATCATAAGGGCTAGATCTAGTAGAAATTTGCCATTTTTGAGTCTTGCTATATGTTATCATTATAAGGACAAGTGGTCTAGAAATGTTAGTTTCTACCGCTGGTGTCCTTGTCTTAGTAAGGAAGTAACCATCATGTATAAATAGATCAGAAACATTTCCAACAACTGTTGCAACAAGGTTTAATCTCAACAGTGATGCTAGCATGATGCTTTTAGGCAGCAATAGAAAATAAAAGTTTTAGTCCACTAGTCCTTATAATGGTAACAGTTAGCAAAACCTTTAGAAAGGGCAAAATTTTTACATGTCCTTGTGATATCTTAACTATTGGGCAGTTTGGCAAGGACTACAGGACTAAATGTTTAGTGCCAATTTCTAACGTTGCTTTTACGAGAGCTTCGCTGTCTAGGTTGAAGGCACTAACATGACACTGGGAGACTCAATGAATATCAGAACAAAATCACTAAAGTTGACATGTTTCTTCATGTCATATTCTGAAAATGTACACATTATGGCCATTTGGAAAGTGTACTCACCAAGAAAACAAAACAAAACAATGTTTGTGAGAATTTACACCAGCACTGACCTTCAGGTTCTTGTCCTTTTACATGAATATATATATATATATATATATATATATATATATATATATATATATATATATAATAAAATAATAAAGTCCACGTTAGTCCATCATCTATATATATATAAAGAAGATGATGGACTAACGTGGACTTTATTATTTTATTATATATTACATGTACACCGAGTGAACATTTACCTCATTTTTGTGTATATATATATATATATATATATATATATATATATATATTTCTGCTTTCAGTCAAACCTGTAGTAAACAATTCCTTCATATAATTATCACTTATGTAATCACATGTCTTAAATAATTCTCTTGCAACTCTAATTACCCCAAAGAATACCATGGTATTGTCTACCAAAGGTTTGTGTAATTATATTCTACCTCATCAGTGAGGGTGTAACCTGTCTCTACCACAACCTGGATATCCTACTTTTCAAACCTGCACTTAAGTGTTAAGACTTAATCCACTGATGTGATCTGATGTGATCATCGCCCTTCACTTTTTAGAATGTAATATTATTTGACTATGATGACAAAGGATCAACAGAACAACTGTGAATGTTTTTAAAACTCGGTTATATACTGTTCAGTTGATCCTGTCTTTCTGACTCTCATTCCTTCTTACTCGACAGCTCTTGACCTCGTGATCAGGTTCCCCTTGAACTTTGACATCTGGGCCCCTCCTCGCCAAGTGGGTGTCTTTGGAATCAGTAATTTTCTAGAGTTAATATATATATTCAGTAATAACCACACACAGTCAAACACCGTTGTGTTTTCTCGAAGTAAAAACGTGGCCCCTACACATTTCTTCGTATTTATCATTTTTCGGTTGTATTGAACCTCTCGAGGTATTTACAAAGGTCCCTTGAACTTCGACACTGCAGTGTTTGACTTAACCTTTATTAATCACTAACGCTCTCCTAAGATCATGGATATCCCTTAATACATTTCCAGCATCTATTCTAATCTTTCTCTACTTTCTACTTCCATCTTCTGTCACTCTCTACATGTCCTTCTCTCCCTCCCTGTCAGCGTCGTCCTGGGAGATACATGACCATCCTTGACCCCCTGTCAGAGCTCCCCACCCCTCCCACCTCTCTCCCTGCCCCTCTCTCTACCCCCGTCCTCCGTGATGCCCCTCACTTCGTCGAAATCAACCTCGATGATGAGGACACCCCGACCCAGTCCACAGTTCGAGTCTTCCTGTCACGTGTGTCTGGATTCTTGAGGAGAGTGTTCCGTGTCAAGATGGACGCTTAGAGTGACATCTTGCTACTTCGTGGACGCTGTGTCATTTAATAATTAATCACCTTAAATCATAAATAAAAGATATATTATGTTTTTGGCATTTTTGGACCTTTCGGACGTTCTACTTTTCGGACCTTTCGGACAATTGTACTTTTGGATTTTTAAAAAATGTACCATCTTTGTATTACAGTATATTTTGATTCCCACATTTTGGCTCTTTCGGACAAGGTTTTAATTGAGGTTTACTTGATTAGCAATCAGTATTAACTATTAAAGAGTGTCTTGGTTTTCTAGCTCCTTTGTTTTTATCTTTTGTTATATATATAACACACGACTTCTTCAAAACCAATCAAGCAACGCATTGTGTGTGCAGAATATGGTTTATTTTATCCTCCTTGATTCATTCGACTCGTCACAACAGATAGTTATGGATTCTGACTGATTTCTTTGCATCTCTCTCAACATATTTGATATAAAGAGCAAGCCCAGCTTGCACAATACAATCTCCTATCCTATAACATAGACTTGAAATACTGACCCATGAAGATCCAGGGTAGAATATGTCTTCAGCAACCCATGCTTGCCGTAAAAGGTGACTATGCTTGTCGAAAGAGGCGACTAACGGGATCGGGTGGGATCGGGTGGTCAGGCTCGCTGACTTGGTTGATGCATGCTATCGATCCCGATTGCGTGGATCGATGCTCATGATGTCAATCACTGGACTGTCTGGTCCAGACTCGATTATTTACAGCCGTCATATAGCTGAGTGCGGCGTTAAACAACAAACAAACAAACTTAAATCTTGTACTACTAGGATCAATTTGTTCTTCTAAAATATAATCTCTGGAGATTGTACTTAACTCCCCTAAGCCATATGGCTCAAATTTAAACCTAGATTAGTTCTGTCATAGTACTGCTGAACAAAGTGTTTGGCTAATAGAAACCACAATCAAGGCTAAGCGACCCTCCCTATGAAGCCTCATTTTCATGTTTCATAGCCGAGTGAGTGAGCCAGTTTGGTTTCACAGCTTTAAGAAGTATTTCAGTCAGTGGGGTGGAGACAAGATGGAAATTTCCAATGGTGTCTACCCCTTGTAATTATACAAACTTGGACACTAGAAATTAAGCGAGAGGCGCCATCATTGTCTAGGGATCAGTTGGTGAGTGGTATCACTACGTTTTTAGAAATATTCTGGCAATGTCAGCACGAAGGAGACCAAGATACTGGCCGATACTGTTGTCTCTCTTTGAATATGCACACGTGTGTAATATTCCAGCTATATCAAAGCAGTCTGTTAATACCTAGACAAGGTAAACAAGTGGTTGACTGCATGAACAGGGTGGAAGGGGAATTTATTCTGCCCCTCAATTTCCAAAATGGCTTCCCAGTTACAATTTACGCTATTCCATTTCAATCGCCTCTGAGTTGGTCGAGACCAGTTTTATCAACACCAGAACATTCAATTTTACGTTAAATAACGATGATATTATTATTATTATATACCGCACTTATCCAGGTATTAGTATCAACTCAAATGCGGTTTATTTGTTCCCCGACCAGTGGATCCGGTTGCATTCCAGTTATCATTCTCAACTCCCTGGAGAGTATACAACTCCAGCTGCCTACGGCTAGATGGCTTACATCCACCTCACATATCGGGTACCCATTTCCCGCTGGGTGAAGAGGTACATTTTGAACTACGTCACTTGCCCAGAGTGACACGTTTTGACACTGGTGTTTCTGGTGTGTGAACTATTTGTGTTTCCACTGTCTGGTCATCTGTCATCGGACGAGTGGGTTCTTTTGAATGCACAGGTGAATATACTGACCACTAGGGGTAGTGGCAACACTGTAAAGACCTGTAAGTGCTGGTTCATAGGCTGAATAACAACCACGTCGCTAGCGGGATACGATCTCAGCACCTGGCGCTTCTGACTGCTTGCCGACATGCATATGTATGTACCATGTTATAACACGTTAGTAGGTGTATCAATAATGGATTAGGCATTTGTCCTGTGTCAAACACTGCGTAAAATTTATAATACAGATAATGGCGTTTAAGACTACGTTCAAGTCAACGTTATGGAGGTCAGTTTAGACGTACACCGGACAGGCGGTATAAAGTTTTACTACAGCAATAATCAGACTTTTGAGAAAGCTGTCAGTGTCTGTACACATGCTATCTGCTCTCTACTGTATCACAGACAAGGTTATTCATAACTTTTCGCCCGTTCACAGGAAGAAGATCTGAAGCCTGTCTCTCCCCGTGCTGGTGATGTTGCACTGAGCAGCCTTTGTCTCCATCTGATGTGTATCGCGTCTGTTATAAACAAGTACCAGTGAAATGTTGTAATAAAATCCTACTCTGAACGTGAAGCCCTGTTGTGCTCCTTTCTAGCTTTGATGTAATTATCACTTGAGTGAGTCTGTTATTTAATGCCGAACAATAATCGACTCTGGACCTGACAATCCAATGATTGATGTCATGAGCATCTATCCACGCAATTGGGATACGATATGACATGCATCAACGAGCTTGACCACCCAATCCCAGGAGTAGCTTCTTACAGCAAGCAGGTAGGACAGAAGACCTAGTCCTTTGCTGATCTTCACCAGTCTAAAGCAGCTTTTGACAGTATGTCGTTCGTTAGCATAGTGTGGGATGCAGGACTGGACGATTATAGTTTTAGTTTTAGTGAAAGCCACGTGCACCGGTATGGTACTGACAAAGCACGAAACGTACTCTCAGCAAAACTTGGATTTGAACCCATGGTCATGAGATTCGGACACGCCAAAGGTGTCAAGTGAGTGAGTGAGTGAGTATGGTTTAATGCCGCTCTTAGCAATATTCCAGCAATATAACGGCGGGGGACACCAGAAATGGGCTTCACACATTGTACCCATGTCGGGAATCAAACCCGGGTCTTTGGCCTTACGAGCGAATGCTTTAACCACTAGGCTACCCGACCACCCTAAAGGGGCCGAACATCTGGACGTGTTTAATCCTCGTTGACAGTTCTGTATGTAAATACCAGAGCTTATACGTGGTGGAACAGTAGTCAGCATTAGAAATGGGCACTAGTCCTGTAGTCCTTACCAAACTGCCCAATAGTTCTTTTTCAGCCTGTTTCATTCACAAACACACAGTTTCAACCATATTCGAATGACACAGTGCTAAAAATAGCAATCCAATCAAATTACACTAATTAATGGGTGGGGTGGGGGCATATATATAGCGATGAGCAGTTTGCCCCTCAGTCCTCATCCGAGCAGAAGATCATGAATCAGTTAACATTACCTACACAGGTATAGGCACTTTCCTAATCATGACCTATGTTTCAGGCACATCTACATTCATACTTTATCTGTATTACAGCCGCCAGTCAATGTGCGAAGAAGTCTTGAAAATAATATATATAAAAATCTACCTTCCTCATATTTTTTTTTAGAAATTGGGATGAAAATCTAATAATTTCTCTACATGTTTGTGGCATAATTAGGTACACATGGAACATGAAACTGGCATCTTGCACAATACTACCACATTTGAAGTGAGGAAAATATAAGGATCGCCACTGACATTACAAAAACAACTCAAAACATTAAATAACAAAAAATATTTTGTGGATCACATATTTATCAACGCACCAAACTGAAATATATACACACAAATAGCCATGTCGCAGGAAATGTCGGGATCGAGCCCCCACAACTGGCCTTGACAAATTTCCACAAGTGCTTTTACGTCTGGACCTAACCTTGGAATTGGTGTCCTTTCAGATTTTTTACATAAACAAATGTCAATTCTCAATTTTCGTATGTTTCACACAGGTGTTCACTAGCGTATTGGCATGTGATGTCATGGTTACCAGTTAAACCAATAGGATCTTACTTTCCGCTGCATGAGGTTTTTTGTGTGCCTTAATTCCATGAATGAAACAGAAGTGGCGTATATAGAACAACTGCGCCAGTTCATGTCAAATTAATTCCAGAATGCTAGTGGGAATTCATTTAAAGCAGAGATAAATATGAGCTTAGACACAAAACATTGCCTTTTCCTCTAAGTTCCCGTACTCTGTCCATGCTATTTGGATAATCCTGGTTTGTGACGAGCATTATATATATAGGTCAACTGTAGAGGTCACAAAAACAACATAACTATAAGTGTTCAAACTTACATGGTTCATATGTTATGTGTAAAATTATGTGTATATATAGATATACACATGTGTCTTATAAACATGGTTTCCTTTAATTGAAGACAATTAAGAAAAATTAAGGCCACAGTGATAGGTTTTTTTTCATTTTTGCTTGCTTGGTAAATCTAACAGATTTCCTAGAATAACAACTTATAAAAGGCCCTGATTCCTAGTTTAGTTATATATTATTTCAAAATAATTGTTGATTTTGCTAATGAATCAAAGCAATATAGATCTGCCCATTGCTGTAGCATCATATTACATTTGTTGTGATAAATCAGCTTGTTCATGCAGAGTTATTTATTCACTTTAGTAAATAGTGACTATTTAGTGACTATTGGTCTGGAAATCACTATTGCGATAACTATTGATATTGAAAGAAACTATTGCGATAACTATTGTTATTGCAAGCAACTATTGCGATAAATATGGATAGTTTTCAGTGTATCGTTATAGATGGATTTTAGAGTTGAATTAAACCTTGGAAGTGAAGTTTCCTTTGAATGTGATAACCACAACAAAAAATTAAAAGTAAAGGTTGAGATATGACTGATTTGTTTAATACCCTAATTACATTACTTCACATTACTTTTTTTTACTGCGAGCGTGTTTTGGTGACTAAATCGCAGGATATTTTGTGTGAACATAAGAGCAGGGTTGATGTGTAAAGATGAAATCAAGGTCAAACTAAAATATCACGAAAAACAACAAAAACGTTAAGCCCACTGCTAAATACACTTACAGAACTACAAATTTCACAACATTTTGAAAAATACTGTTTGAGCATCAGCCAAAGTGAGTTTTTTCAATATCGCAGCTATTGTAGACTCCAACAAAGACAAAAAGATTGACTTGTCTGGCAAACAGACGGCAAAGATCAGCAGCATTCCTCCTGGGGTCAGCACAACACATCAATTAACAAGTCTACGCATCACAATAATCTTACTGATTTATTCGGATCAGGTTTTGATTCCTGAAATGGTAATAATTCGTGTTCATCATATACAGCATTTGTATCCTCCTCTTACAGCAGACTAGTAAGTTTCAAATATGGCACCCTACATGTAAACTCTACAGAAGAAGTAGATTAAAGTTTGTTTCTTACATAGACTGACAACTGTATAAGTGCAGATCCAAGAGCATGTATAAATAAAACTTTATCTGATGAGTGTGTATTCAAACGGCACAACCTATGATGATTGCTAGAAAGTTGGCATTATACATTAGTTCATACTACTGGGTACCCATTTATTGCTGGGTGAGCAGAGGCACATTGTTTAAACGAAGTCCCTTGCCAAAGGAGACAGCACATATCTGACAGGTTCCCATGGCGCCCAATATTTGGCAACAAAACAACAATATCACAGCATGCTGTACATCCAGTGGTCACTGGTGTGACCAAAAGTTTACGTATGATGATATCTGACAATATCTGACAACTGAGAAAATGATCCTTGAATGTGTCATGTACAACACATAGATAACAAGGACCTTATAGTTTCACTATAATTGACATACTTTTAACAAGAGCAACAAATATGTAACAAATCAGCACAAACAATTTTACATACAATTTAATTAGTTCATGAATTGATATAATTATTTCATTAATTTGACACTTCACTTTAGTGCACTTGTACTTCCCACACTTCTGGTGCTGAATCATAGACTAGACTGCATAAGTCTAGAATGTAGGTCGTCAAACATATTACACCCAAGATATTTTCTGACAATATTTTCATCGCATCTATATATACAGTTCTTGTTGAGACCCCTTTTTCTCAAGATCTTTGGGACTGACCACAGAATCCATCAAGCCAAGTGGAGTTTCAAGTATGACATTCAGTCGATCAGCAACTCCGTCGCAGCCACCTTTGAAGTCTTTTCCTAGCTTGACGGTTCCCCTAGGTCTCAAACCCCAGATTATGTAGCAGTATGTGAAATGTCAGTATTGCACGTGTCCAGGGAGCTAGCTAATCTTCACCTTCTGTAGGTTGAGCCACATCTGAAACATAGACAGAACTTATAAATTCACTGCAATTGGTGCTTCTGTGCAAGTCATGCAAACAACTGAATTACCACAAACAAATTGGAAACATCACAAACTAATGAACCAACCTGCCCCCTCTGGTACTGGGAATCTGTTGAGAGAAGTACACGACACCCCAGGACGTCCCGACAGTCGGGCTGACCGCCACACTTGTTACAGTGGAGAAACTGGACAACTACTCCAGCCTCAGCATCACAGTGGCAGTCCAACGTCACACCTGTAACAGCATGATGGTGAAGTGTGTGATACAGGTGTAACTTACTGGTAGGCAGAGCCAGTTGTGTCTCAAATGGAGCGAAAGTGAGTGTTTTGTTGCTTTGTTTGTTGGTTGTTTATAATGTAAATAATCGAGACTGGACAAGACAATCCAAGGATTGATAGAACGAGCACTGATCCACGCAATAGGAATACAACGAAATAGATCAACCAAGTCACCCGATCCCGTTAGTCGCCTCTTACAACAAGCATAGTCACCTCTTACAAGCATCGGTTGCTGAAGACCTATTTCTCCCCACAATCTTCACAGGTCGAAGGTGAGTGAGAGGGATCACAAAAGTGGTGGTGAGGTGAGGTGAAATTGAGTTTAATGTCGCGTCCAAGATTATTGCACTTATATAGTGACGTGCATGCACGTGTGTGTGTGTGTGTGCCTGCTTGTACTAGTCCGGACTGATGACGATTTATAGTGCTAGCACACTGAGATACCATGCCACAGTTTAACATGAATACCCCACTCAGGCACAGTATACTGACTCCGAGCCGACCAGTCCTTGTTTTAGCCCCTAAATGCCAAGTGCCATACAGGGTAACAACAAGTACCATCTTTTAACGTCTTTTGGTATGACGCGGCCGGGGATTGAACCCCAGACCTTCCGCTCTCTGGGCGGACGCTCTACCACTAGACCACGGAGGATCATAAAAGTGTGTCACAGGATCGATCAGCTGTGCTCCCGTGTATTCAGCTCATCATCAGCAGATCTTTAAAGTCAAGTGCACAGCAGCACCCTAAAGCAAAATATCCTGACCACATCCTCTTCATACTCAGCAGCATTAGAAATTAATGCTAAATATTTTCTGATTATGGCTTTTGGCTCTGGTTGGTTCTGGTGAGTGTCCTGGGGTGCTATCCCTAGAGGTCAACACAGCTGTCCTGGCCTGGCACTGATTTTGCTAATGAATCAAAGCAATATAGATCTGCCCATTGCTGTAGCATCATATTACATTTGTTGTGATAAATCAGCTTGTTCATGCAGAGTTATTTATTCACTTTAGTAAATAGTGACTATTTAGTGACTATTGGTCTGGAAATCACTATTGCGATAACTATTGATATTGAAAGAAACTATTGCGATAACTATTGTTATTGCAAGCAACTATTGCGATAAATATGGATAGTTTTCAGTGTATCGTTATAGATGGATTTTAGAGTTGAATTAAACCTTGGAAGTGAAGTTTCCTTTGAATGTGATAACCACAACAAAAAATTAAAAGTAAAGGTTGAGATATGACTGATTTGTTTAATACCCTAATTACATTACTTCACATTACTTTTTTTTACTGCGAGCGTGTTTTGGTGACTAAATCGCAGGATATTTTGTGTGAACATAAGAGCAGGGTTGATGTGTAAAGATGAAATCAAGGTCAAACTAAAATATCACGAAAAACAACAAAAACGTTAAGCCCACTGCTAAATACACTTACAGAACTACAAATTTCACAACATTTTGAAAAATACTGTTTGAGCATCAGCCAAAGTGAGTTTTTTCAATATCGCAGCTATTGTAGACTCCAACAAAGACAAAAAGATTGACTTGTCTGGCAAACAGACGGCAAAGATCAGCAGCATTCCTCCTGGGGTCAGCACAACACATCAATTAACAAGTCTACGCATCACAATAATCTTACTGATTTATTCGGATCAGGTTTTGATTCCTGAAATGGTAATAATTCGTGTTCATCATATACAGCATTTGTATCCTCCTCTTACAGCAGACTAGTAAGTTTCAAATATGGCACCCTACATGTAAACTCTACAGAAGAAGTAGATTAAAGTTTGTTTCTTACATAGACTGACAACTGTATAAGTGCAGATCCAAGAGCATGTATAAATAAAACTTTATCTGATGAGTGTGTATTCAAACGGCACAACCTATGATGATTGCTAGAAAGTTGGCATTATACATTAGTTCATACTACTGGGTACCCATTTATTGCTGGGTGAGCAGAGGCACATTGTTTAAACGAAGTCCCTTGCCAAAGGAGACAGCACATATCTGACAGGTTCCCATGGCGCCCAATATTTGGCAACAAAACAACAATATCACAGCATGCTGTACATCCAGTGGTCACTGGTGTGACCAAAAGTTTACGTATGATGATATCTGACAATATCTGACAACTGAGAAAATGATCCTTGAATGTGTCATGTACAACACATAGATAACAAGGACCTTATAGTTTCACTATAATTGACATACTTTTAACAAGAGCAACAAATATGTAACAAATCAGCACAAACAATTTTACATACAATTTAATTAGTTCATGAATTGATATAATTATTTCATTAATTTGACACTTCACTTTAGTGCACTTGTACTTCCCACACTTCTGGTGCTGAATCATAGACTAGACTGCATAAGTCTAGAATGTAGGTCGTCAAACATATTACACCCAAGATATTTTCTGACAATATTTTCATCGCATCTATATATACAGTTCTTGTTGAGACCCCTTTTTCTCAAGATCTTTGGGACTGACCACAGAATCCATCAAGCCAAGTGGAGTTTCAAGTATGACATTCAGTCGATCAGCAACTCCGTCGCAGCCACCTTTGAAGTCTTTTCCTAGCTTGACGGTTCCCCTAGGTCTCAAACCCCAGATTATGTAGCAGTATGTGAAATGTCAGTATTGCACGTGTCCAGGGAGCTAGCTAATCTTCACCTTCTGTAGGTTGAGCCACATCTGAAACATAGACAGAACTTATAAATTCACTGCAATTGGTGCTTCTGTGCAAGTCATGCAAACAACTGAATTACCACAAACAAATTGGAAACATCACAAACTAATGAACCAACCTGCCCCCTCTGGTACTGGGAATCTGTTGAGAGAAGTACACGACACCCCAGGACGTCCCGACAGTCGGGCTGACCGCCACACTTGTTACAGTGGAGAAACTGGACAACTACTCCAGCCTCAGCATCACAGTGGCAGTCCAACGTCACACCTGTAACAGCATGATGGTGAAGTGTGTGATACAGGTGTAACTTACTGGTAGGCAGAGCCAGTTGTGTCTCAAATGGAGCGAAAGTGAGTGTTTTGTTGCTTTGTTTGTTGGTTGTTTATAATGTAAATAATCGAGACTGGACAAGACAATCCAAGGATTGATAGAACGAGCACTGATCCACGCAATAGGAATACAACGAAATAGATCAACCAAGTCACCCGATCCCGTTAGTCGCCTCTTACAACAAGCATAGTCACCTCTTACAAGCATCGGTTGCTGAAGACCTATTTCTCCCCACAATCTTCACAGGTCGAAGGTGAGTGAGAGGGATCACAAAAGTGGTGGTGAGGTGAGGTGAAATTGAGTTTAATGTCGCGTCCAAGATTATTGCACTTATATAGTGACGTGCATGCACGTGTGTGTGTGTGTGTGCCTGCTTGTACTAGTCCGGACTGATGACGATTTATAGTGCTAGCACACTGAGATACCATGCCACAGTTTAACATGAATACCCCACTCAGGCACAGTATACTGACTCCGAGCCGACCAGTCCTTGTTTTAGCCCCTAAATGCCAAGTGCCATACAGGGTAACAACAAGTACCATCTTTTAACGTCTTTTGGTATGACGCGGCCGGGGATTGAACCCCAGACCTTCCGCTCTCTGGGCGGACGCTCTACCACTAGACCACGGAGGATCATAAAAGTGTGTCACAGGATCGATCAGCTGTGCTCCCGTGTATTCAGCTCATCATCAGCAGATCTTTAAAGTCAAGTGCACAGCAGCACCCTAAAGCAAAATATCCTGACCACATCCTCTTCATACTCAGCAGCATTAGAAATTAATGCTAAATATTTTCTGATTATGGCTTTTGGCTCTGGTTGGTTCTGGTGAGTGTCCTGGGGTGCTATCCCTAGAGGTCAACACAGCTGTCCTGGCCTGGCACTGCTGGGCTACCTGAGTGGTGAGTGAGTTATTGAACATTACAGCCATGTTTCAGCCATATCGTGATGAGGCTATCTGAGGATGTCACTTATGATACCACTCACCATTTTCGAGTACAGCAGAGAAAGCCTGTAGAGAGTCCCCCAGCGGCTGCGCTGGTAGGTACACCACATCCGGGACACCTGTACCTCCAGGCAACTTCATGAAACATGGCACTCTTTTCCGCTTTTCAAAATCTGCAAACAGAAAAATTAAATGTATTAAAGACACATTTCATGGAATATTATTTTCTGACTTTCATACCATGCCGTGTATTGTCCTGATCTAAACAAAGTTCCAAAAGCAAACAATGTGCTATGACCATCTTACGTTTATGTTAAAGTATGAGAGTTATGGTAGTCGTAGCACTCAGATCGTTGAACGGAACAAACCCGGATTAATGTCACATTCAAGGTGTTTAGCTTAAACAACAATATGCATGCAACTATGCGTGTGACTGTTTGTACTAGTCCAGACTTATTCCAGTTTTATAGTGCTAGCCCACAGAGATGTGACATGGATAGCCCACTCAAATACTGACACCGAGCCGACCAGTCCTTCTTTTACCCCTTCAATGCTGAGACAGGGTAACAGAAAGTATCATCATTTAATGTTGTTTAGTGTACGTCGCAGCCAGGGGATCCAACCACCGACCTTCCACTCCCTGGGCAGACACTCTATCCACTACACCACGGAGGCAAGTCAATTCAAATTTAGCTAATACATCTTTGTGCAGACATCCTTCAGGCTGTATGTCAGTTTGCAGTAAAATCTGCCTACTAATACACTGCCACAAGGCAGATACTAACCCTTGACTCCATCAAGAAGAACACAGCCACATTCACTGCAAGTGATCTGTTTAGATTTCTGTAACATAATAGATATACTTTCAGGAAAAACAAACTTTCCAATACTGAAAAGTACCGTAATACAAGTTCACTTATCTGGCAATGATATATTGTTAGGTTACTGAACATAGTTGGTTCTTTCTATCTTCTGTTGCACTGTCGAGACTGAAACAAAACTGTAATAATTTGTTCCACAGTCTGAAGAAAAAAGGCCATCTAGGATTCCATAGTAATAACCCTTGGCAGGCCAATAAAGAAAAGAAATTCATTTGGGAATTTCTAAAACTTCTTATTTAATGTCAGAGACATTTTAACATTAACTCCTCGTCTTCTTCAATGGTCCTTTTATCAGTGAAATACACCCCGACCAAGCCATCACAACAGTGATCACAACTGTGTTTACATGAACTGTTTTACGTTCCATTTGCTGCAGACTTTGGGTTGAATATTGGTCTCTGAACAGGTCTAGATAATCCCTGTTATATTAGCATATGTTGGTAAATTAATGATTTGTTTTGTATTTTCAATCATGTTCAAATATTACAACTGCAGACTTATTGGGACATGCCTGGCAACAAAGTGCATGAAAACATGGTTTTAAATTGTCTTTTTCAAGAAAATGTCAAACTAAACAGCAATTTAGCCTGTATCAACCTTGGCCTTGAAAAGAATGTTACCAACATGATCAAGGTGGGAGATGCTTCATTTTTGTCTTAAATTATGAAAAATCATGCAGGATGCACTAGATGCATGATCCCATGAAAAAATATCCTTTTCAAGGGAATCCCACCGATACCATGGAGACAGTACATTAGTCTTTATGATGCACAACAAAAACCAAAAGCTGTCAAAAACCTTATAGAATTGCATTTTATATGAGACTGTTAGCATGGCTATATAAAAATGTACCTGATAGCCATCTTCTTGAACCTCATCTAGGAAGTCTATTCCCCTGGATCTTTTGGACACTAGCTTGGCAGTACCATCAGACTTGCGTTTCTTCTGTCTGCTACTCCGTCGCTTGACCATCAACCCTTCAAGGTCATCAATATCACATGTATCTTCCTTGCTGCCATGTTTCTCCTTAACATGGTCCTCGAGCATCTCTTTACAGTCAACAGAGCTCCCTTCTAAACAACCTGATCTACTCTTTCGTTTAAAAAGTGGTTTCTTGGTAGCAGTCTCGTGTTGTTCTGAAACACTACTGAGAGGATCCGAGTTTCCATCAAACAAAAGAGGACTTGTGCTTTTAGCAGCATCACTGACCAGGGGTTCTGTTTCAGGTGGGTTGGTGCCACTGTCTTGACCATCGTCCACCGATTGGTCTAAACGCTCACAACCCAGACTGTCCCTCCTAGGAACATGACAGAATTTGAAGAAGCGGTTCGATTTCATATCTTTCTCCAGATTCTGATTAAACGACCCAAGTTCCTGTTTAACCACATTTGTGTTAGAACCAGCCACCAAGCTCTGTTTCTCAGTAGTGATCGCTGAATCTGACAAATGACTTTCTATACCGTTCTCATTCAGAGTTGTATCCCCTCTCTTGTTTTGAGTATCTGTCCCCTTGTATTCAAATTTGAAAACAATTTTGGTTTGTTTTACATTGTGCCCAGACCCTGGGTTAGCTGGGGACACCACCATCTTCTTGCCAAGGTCACCTAGGTGAGGCCTGAGAGAAGGCTTGTCATCACCTTTACCAGGCGTTTCATTCAATGTCATAACCTTCTGACCCAAAACAATATTGTTCACAATATTCTGTTTCCCTGTCTGTGAAGCCACACCAACATTCTGCTCCAAACACATTTTTCCAGAATGTCCAATTACTTTGACATCTGCCTCTGTCTTTGACCTTCTGGCTTCAGTTTTGATGCCAAGGTCAGGGGTGAGATACATTGGTGAGTGAGAAGTCATGTGACCATATATTGAGGTGTCTCCCTTGTGCACAGACACAGAAGGGGGCGTGATGTTTGCCTTGTCTTGCAGTGGGGTCCGGGGCATCGCCTCATTGACAGACTGGGTACAAGGTGTGCTTGAAATAAATGATGCTTCAGCTCTGAAACAAGGACCATTAACATTGATACAGTGACAACTCACTTCTGGCAGATGAAAATCCCACTTTTTGTACAATATCAATATAAGAATTGCTTTAACATGTACAATCATTCATGTATCTAAAAATTGATTTGGGGTTGGAATGATTGTGGCTGTTTATCAACATCAGAACATACAATTTTACGTTCAATTATCATGATATTATTATTATTATTATATACCACACTTATCCAGGTATTGGTATCAACTCAAAAGCGATTCATTTGTTCTCCAACCAGTGGATCAGGTTGCATTCCAGTTATCATTCTCAACTTCCTTGGGAGTATACAAACCAAGCTGTTTTTACATGTACCTCACATGTTGGGTACTCATTATATATTCAGTAATCACTTTAGTTGTATAAATTATGAAATCTCAATAATATTTGTAGAAACTGCATTTCCCTGCTTAATATCCTATTTAATTTGGCGCATGAGTCCCTGAATACTTTTGAAAACTTGAATTTAAAAACAAAACAAAAAAACTTTTAACTGGTGTGCAAATGTGTTAAAGTTAGTCTTACAAATACAGTCTAATAAAATATTGCAAGCACTGCATTGGGCATCAAAGACATTAACGTTCAGCATGTATTTGTGACTTACTCCTCGTTCTCCATGGTCTCGATCCTGAGTTTGGTGAAGCAGGACAGCGAGTCCATGGCGGAGTTGAACGTGTTGTATGACACTGCCTTGTTCCTCACCCACTTGGATAAACCTGGACGTCAAACACAATATATCAGTGAAGTTAAATCTCATCTGCTATATTACTACAGTTACACAAACATTATTCTGTTCATACTCTAAAATAATAACAGTTAATCAAACATTTAAAACACTGGATAGGCAAAAGTTTGTTCTCCTTCAGCACTTGTGTCAAGACTTGTTATGGAAAAAAGAGGTTGAGAATAAGGAAACTAAATTTCCGTGTTCTACAAAGTGATCATAGCACTTCCACTGTCACATCCTGTGTTAAGGTATTGGGACTACAACCTACAGGCACTGTCATAAACAATGTGAAACATATGATCCAACTATCAATGCTTTACAACTGTTTATATTGGAATTACCTGTACACTGAGACAAGTCACAAGAAGATTGCGAAGATACCACCTCTGTGGTATCCTGTGGTATTATCTAAACATTGAGACAAGTCACCAGAAGAATGTGTAAACCTACCTTTGTGGTATTTCTGGGGGTTCTTCACAAATCTCTCATCTACAATAATCAGAGCTCCCCAGTCTCGTCTGGAACAATAAACAAATTCTTGAGACTTCCATTTCAGATCTATACAAAGATTATTTCATTGCAACATAAACATTGCCGACCAGTTTCTGATACACTTGCCAATGCCAACCAATTTCTGATACACCTGCCAATGCCGACCTGTGTCTGATACACCTGCCAATGCCTACCTGTGTCTGATACACCTGCCAATGCCTACCTGTGTCTGATACACCTACCAATGCCGACCTGTGTCTGATACACCTGCCAATGCCGACCTGTGTCTGATACACCTACCAATGCCAACCTGTGTCTGATACACCTGCCAATGCCGACCTGTGTCTGATACACCTGCCAATGCCGACCAGTGTCTGATACACCTGCCAATGCCGAGCTGTGTCTGATACACCTGCCAATGCCGAGCTGTGTCTGATACACCTGCCAATGCCGAGCTGTGTCTGATACACCTGCCAATGCCGAGCTGTGTCTGATACACCTGCCAATGCCGAGCTGTGTCTGATACACCTGCCAATGCTGAGCTGTGTCTGATACACCTGCCAATGCCGACCTGTGTCTGATACACCTACCAATGCCGACCTGTGTCTGATACACCTGCCAATGCCGACCTGTGTCTGATACACCTGCCAATGCCGACCTGTGTCTGATACACCTGCCAATGCCAACCTGTGTCTGATACACCTGCCAATGCCGACCTGTGTCTGATACCCCTGCCAATGCTGACCTGTGTCTGATACACCTGCCAATGCCGACCTGTGTCTGATACACCTACCAATGCCGACCTGTGTCTGATACACCTGCCTATGCCAACCTGTGTCTGATACCCCTGCCAATGCCGACCTGTGTCTGATACACCTGCCAATGCCGACCTGTGTCTGATACACCTACCAATGCCGACCTGTGTCTGATACACCTGCCAATGCCGAGCTGTGTCTGATACACCTGCCAATGCCAACCTGTGTCTGATACACCTGCCAATGCCGAGCTGTGTTTGATACACCTACCAATGCCGACCTGTGTCTGATACACCTGCCAATGCCGACCTGTGTCTGATACACCTGCCAATGCCAACCTGTGTCTGATACCCCTGCCAATGCTGACCTGTGTCTGATACACCTGCCAATGCCAACCTTTGTCTAATACACCTGCCAATACCGACCTGTGTCTGATACACCTGCCAATGCCAACCTTTGTCTGATACCCCTGCCAATGCTGACCTGTGTCTGATACACCTGCCAATGCCGACCTGTGTCTGATACACCTGCCAATGCCGACCTGTGTCTAATACACCTGCCAATGCTAACCTGTGTCTGATACACCTGCCAATGCCTACCTGTGTCTGATACACCTGCCAAGTGCTTGGTTGAGCGCCCGAAATGCCTGGATCTCGTACCAGTCACTCCCTGACAGAAGACCTCGAGCTGCTTTATGCTTGTCATTATACTTCCTCTTCAATTCAACCTGACATCATTGAAGATAAAACATCAAACATCAACCAACCCCACAACAATTTACTTTTTATTTATTTGAGAGATTATAACATCTTAACAGCAGATACTTACACTACATATAACAACATAGCAAAACAAAACAGGAGAGGAGTCGGAGTAACTACCTTACCTCCAGTTTCATTTGTAGTGTCTTTCATCATGTTCATATTCAAAGGTTTAACAACATACAGTCAATTAAGGATTGACTGTGTACTTTTTTCAGCTCATTGAGGTATCGATAAACAAAACTGATGCGCAAACTGTATGAATCCACATAGTGTTTTTTGAATGGAGAGAAAAAGCCCCAAACATTGCAAGCTGTGTACATTTACCGAACTGTTGAAACTCAAGCATGGGAATGGAGCTGACTGACCAAAGATATGTATCAGGGCCAATCTGGGATTCAAACCAAACATCAGCAGATCCTTGCACAGCCAAGGGAAGAAACTGTGCATAACTAATTGCATCATAAGATGACTTATGATTTCGTAAAAATACCAGTGTCCGAGAGGGAGTGTTCCGACGTACCTGGATGTCCTTGAAGTTTGGGTATGGTATTCCCACCTGCAACACAATGTACTACCAGTCAGGCAACACTTAATCACTTAGGTAATTGATGTGTCCACCTGCAACACAATGTACTACCAGTCAGGCAACACTTAATCACTTGGGTAATTGATGTGTCCACCTGCAACACAATGTACTACCAGTCAGGCAACACTTAATCACTTAGGTAATTGATGTGTCCACCTGCAACACAATGTACTACCAGTCAGGCAACACTTAATCACTTAGGTAATGGATGTGTCCACCTGCAACACAATGTACTACCAGTCAGGCAACACTTAATCACTTAGGTAATTGATGTGTCCACCTGCAACACAATGTACTACCAGTCAGGCAACACTTAATCACTTAGGTAATGGATGTGTCCACCTGCAACACAATGTACTACCAGTCAGGCAACACTTAATCACTTAGGTAATGGATGTGTCCACCTGCAACACAATGTACTACCAGTCAGGCAACACTTAATCACTTAGGTAATTGATGTGTCCACCCAAAATATCACTCATATTGAAGAGCATAAATAAGTCTTTTTTTCTGACATACAAGTCTGTTTAACAAATAAGTTTATGAAAGAAAATTCTAAATAGGTAACTCTTTCATTTTACTTTATGTTACTCAACAAAACAGTTTTAAAACATTTGGCACTCAGATTTAGGGCAATATGATCAGGGAATATAAATAAGAGGCCTGAGTTCTATTTCATGCAGAAAGTAGCAGTACTGGCTTCAGTATGAGAAGCGGTAGATTTGACATTCACGTCAGCCCCTCAGCCCTACTTAAGCATAGTAAATAACAGTAGCTACAATAGAGAACAACAGACATAAGTGAATCCACTCACGGTTATCACAGCTCGAGCAAAGTTGTCAGCAAAGTCAAGTCCTTCACTAACTTTCCCTCGACACACAGCCAGAAACAGAGCGCCATCTTTGTCTTCATCTGATATGCCGAAATGAACATGACATGACAATCACGCAGCATCAACTTGCCCAAATCAATGTTCTCTATGGCAAGCCTAGATTCATTTATTTTATAGTTTTTTTTAACAACCTACCTTAGATTAAGCAAAAAGGAGTCTTTGATTGATATTATGATTTTAAAACAGATATTTAGTTGAAACCTTTATTTCACTATTTTTAAGAATATTAAATCTAAATTCAAGCAGACCAACACAAACACACAATGTTTCTATTTACTGAGCCAGTTGCTGGTGCCTACCTCCCCTGGATTCCACTGCATCATAGAAGAGATGCATCAGCTCCTCAAAGTTCATCTTGTCGGAACCCCGAGGTTCTGCAACAATCTTCTTCTGCTGGAACATCTTGTCCCAGAGTCCAGTAGCCTGAATAGCAGTTACAACATGGGAACAATTAATCCTACAAGGCCAGCTGCCAGACATGGTGGCACTTAGCCCACAGTGATATAGTGATTGATAGAATGAGAGTCCAGTAGCCTGAATAGCAGTTACAACATGGGAACAATCAATCCTACAAGGCCAGCTGCCAGACATGGTGGCACTTAGCCCACAGTGATATAGTGATTGATAGAATGAGAGTCCAGTAGCCTGAATAGCAGTTACAACATGGGAACAATCAATCCTACAAGGCCAGCTGCCAGACATGCCGGCAATTAGCCCACAGTGATATAGTGATTGATAGAATGAGAGTCCAGTAGCCTGAATAGCAGTTACAACATGGGAACAATCAATCCTACAAGGCCAGCTGCCAGACATGCCGGCAATTAGCCCACAGTGATATAGTGATTGATAGAATGAGAGTCCAGTAGCCTGAATAGCAGTTACAACATGGGAACAATCAATCCTACAAGGCCAGCTGCCAGACATGGTGGCACTTAGCCCACAGTGATATAGTGATTGATAGAATGAGAGTCCAGTAGCCTGAATAGCAGTTACAACATGGGAACAATCAATCCTACAAGGCCAGCTGCCAGACATGCCGGCAATTAGCCCACAGTGATATAGTGATTGATAGAATGAGAGTCCAGTAGCCTGAATAGCAGTTACAACATGGGAACAATCAATCCTACAAGGCCAGCTGCCAGACATGGTGGCACTTAGCCCACAGTGATATAGTGATTGATAGAATGAGAGTTGTAGACTGAATGAGTGATAGAATGTGCGATAGAGTGAGTTAGAGAGTGATAGAATGTGCGATAGAGTGAGTTATAGAGTGGGTGGTAGAATGTGCGAAAGAGTGAGTTATAGAGTGAGTGATAGAATGTGCGATAGAGCGAGTTATAGAGTGAGTGGTAGACTGTGCGAAGAGTGAGTTATAGAGTGAGTGAGATTGGATTTAATGTTACACATGTTGCATCAAACATAACTTAGTAACAAAGTGTGATAAGTGAAGCAAGCCTAAGGTGAGGAAGGTCCTACATGTTTATCATGAGCACAGGTATGATGGATGCCGAGAGACCAAGTACTAGAATCGGCACCAATCAGGAAGTTGAACTCTTGGTCAGTGGAACATTCCTCATCAACGGTCATCATCCCAAACAACTTTCTTCATGTGAGAAGAAATCAAGATTACACATTACACACAGCTCAATATTGCCTGAATCTGGCATGACTTTGATCACGTCAGTTTGTTAGGATGTAGTCAGTATTAAAACCTGTCAGACTTACCTTCCATCTGTTGGTGAGTTTCTCCAGGCACTTGTAGGAGGGGAAGAAACACAGCACACCATGGGGCACAGTCTGGATAACAACATGTACATCTCATACTGGAACGTCTTCTAGAAACATGGAACTCGTGGAGATCCAGGTGAGAATTGGTAATCACCAACCCATGTTTGTCATAAGAGCCAACTATGTTTTTCGTAAGACGTTACTAACAGGATTGGGTGGTAAGGCTCGCTGACTTGGTTGATGCATGTCATCATATCCCAATTTTGGAGATCAATAATCATGATATCAATCTATGAATTGTCAGGTCCAGACTCGATTACTTACTTCCAGCTATATGATGGCGGTCTGGAAATAATCCAGTCTGGACCAGACAATCCAGTGATTGACATCACGAGCATTGATCCACGTAACTGGGATACGATGACATGCATCAACCAAGTCAGCAAGCCTGACCACCCGATCCCGTTATTAGCCTCTTACAACAAGCATAGTCGCCTTTTACGGCAAGCATGGGTTGTGAAGACCTATTCTACCCCAGATCTTCACGGGTCTGGTCACACACTGACATCATGATGTTGTAGTGTTTTCATCATTTAGCAAACAAATTCCAAATGAGATGCTGTACTGTATTTAAATATAAATAATCACATATTTTAGCTGCTGTTTTTGAGACCTTGAATCAGGCAGAAGGCTGCACTTACCTTACAGACGCGGAGCACCAGGTGTCCAAGCTCATCCTGGAAGTTGAAGGTCTCTATATTCCTGTAGACTGCCTGGAGAGACGTCCCACTGGGGCCCTGACCTATAGCACCTACCCACACCTGGAATGAAAGCCAACAGATCTATATTCCTGTAGACTGCCTGGAGAGACAACCACTGGGGCCCTGACCTATAGCACCTACCCACACCTGGAATGAAAGCCAACAGATCTATACTCCTGTAGACTGCCTGGAGAGACAACCACTGGGGCCCTGACCTATAGCACCTACCCACACCTGGAATGAAAGCCAACAGATCTATATTCCTGTAGACTGCCTGGAGAGATGTCCCACTGGGGCCCTGACCTATAGCACCTACCCACACCTGGAATGAAAGCCAACAGATCTATATTCCTGTAGACTGCCTGGAGAGACAACCACTGGGGCCCTGACCTATAGCACCTACCCACACCTGGAATGAAAGCCAACAGATCTATATTCCTGTAGACTGCCTGGAGAGATGTCCCACTGGGGCCCTGACCTATAGCACCTACCCACACCTGGAATGAAAGCCAACAGATCTATATTCCTGTAGACTGCCTGGAGAGACGTCCCACTGGGGCCCTGACCTATAGCACCTACCCACACCTGGAATGAAAGCCAACAGATCTATATTCCTGTATACTGCCTGGAGAGACGTCACCTTCTCTGACCTATTCTGCTCTGGAGCTCTGCAAGCATGGTAATGGGGACCTAGTCTACCGCTGCAGGATCCCCAACAAACAAATCATTATGGTACCATTGTGTAAACGAGGCCAACATTGGGTAATGGGGACAAAATATTACTAACCTCCATTAACAACACCTGTTGTGACAACTAATAAGCAACCACCATTCATTTCAGTCATTCCCATTTCAACACTAACATGTATACAATCAACTGAATACATTCAAATACTCACTGTCATTCCACACGATTGTGCATGCGCTTCATTTGACAAAAATTTCATATTAGAGTTTAGATTTAACATAATTTATTCACATAAAATCAAAAGGATTGATCAGTAAGTTACAACTTATATTGCCCACTCTAAAACAACACAGTGATTTCCTGACACCAGTTACCCAGCACTCGGATCACTCAACCAGATACCAAAAAAGGAGTGCTGGTAAGAACTCTTGAACGTTTTTTAAATCAACTTTACTGGCATTGGTCAACCTTGGGCCTAGTTCTATCTCACTAACACTCTAAGACAATCACAATCAACTATCACTGACTCTGATTGGCAGAGAACTCATTTGTTTCCCTCCCTCTCCTCTCCCTCTCCCTACCTGATCATCCTTGATGACATGGTTGGCTTCAAGCTGTATACTAAAGGTCATCCCAAGCTCCGAGGAGAAGGATGACATCGGTGACAGCGTTCCGCTGCTCAACACGATACTGCGGCAGTTCTGGAAGTCTGAGAAAGCCTGCAACAGAGATTGGCATTATTACTAGGTTGTCATTCAACAGAGATTGTTCTCATAAAATGATTACTTTCTTTGATACTTATCTTTTTAGAACCTGATAGGAAGCTGTCTTAGGTCATAAGACTTCAAAAATGATCTTTGAACAAAATAATGAACACTTCCTTATCTTTGTAAATTGCATAATATTTTACTACCCATGAAGATCTAGGTTAGAAAAGGTCTTCAGCAACCAATGCTTGCCATAAAAGGCGACTATGCTTGTCGTAAGAGGCGACTAACGGGATCTGGTGGTCAGGCTCGCTGACTTGGTTGATGCATGTTATCTTATTCCAATTGCGTGGATTGATGCTTGTGATGTCAATCACTGGATTGCCTGGTCCAGACTTGATTATTTACAGACCGCCGTCATATAGCTGGAATATTGCTGAGTGCAGTGTTAAACAACAAACAACAAACAAACATGATATTTTACACACATCTCCATTGATATTATGTCATTTGGTTTGGTGACATGTTGACCAGCAACCTACCACTGCAGGGTTCATGCACCAGAAGTTGAGTGTCGAGATCACCGTGGGAACTCTCCTCTGCCCTGAAACAAACACCAGATGTTGAGTGTCGAGATCACCGTGGGAACTCTCCTCTGCCCTGAAACAAACACCAGATGTTGAGTGTCGAGATCACCGTGGGAACTCTCCTCTGCCCTGAAACAAACACCAGATGTTGAGTGTCGAGATCACCGTGGGAACTCTCCTCTGCCCTGAAACAAACACCAGATGTTGAGTGTCGAGATCACCGTGGGAACTCTCCTCTGCCCTTAAACAAACACCAGATGTTGAGTGTCGAGATCACCATGGGAACCCTCCTCTGCCCTGAAACAAACACCAGAAGTTGAGTGTACACATCACCATGGGAACCCTCCTCTGCCCTGAAACAAACACCAGAAGTTGAGTGTACACATCACCATGGGAACCCTCCTCTGCCCTGAAACAAACACCAGAAGTTGAGTGTACAGATCACCATGGGAACCCTCCTCTGCCCTGAAACAAACACCAGAAATTGAGTTCTCAGATCACCATGGGAACTCTCCTCTGCCCTGAAACATACACCAGAAGTTGAGTGTACACATCATCATGGGAACACTCCTCTGCCCTGAAACAAACACCAGAAGTTGAGTGTACACATCACCATGGTCCTCAGTTCAGTGGGCCATGATATCACTCTTGAATGTGATGACGTTGTGCTACAATGGATGAAGTCACATGCTACAATGGATGAAGTCACATGCTACAATGGATGAAGTCACATGCTACAATGGATGAAGTCACATGCTACAATGGATGAAGTCACAAGCTACAATGGATGAAGTCACATGCTACAATGGATGAAGTCACATGCTACAATGGATGAAGTCACATGCTACAATGGATGAAGTCACATGCTTATGTGACAACTAAACCTGCCTGGTTAGCAGAACTTGAAAAAAGAACAACCAAATCAAAGTTAAACAAGCATGAAATACTCACATCCCCCGCCAATATGACATGTCGTGTGTGTGCAATGCATTAGCTCCTGTGAACTATGTTCACTGGGCCTTTTTGTAAAGAAATATAGTACGTTTTTCAAGATCTGCTCTGGAAACGAGGACTACTGCCATTTTCAGTCTAAATCAAAGTTGTTGCCATGGAAACTCGAAAAATAACTTTAAAAAAAATTCAAAACTATCCAAAGGCACCAGTTCACCACTAGACCTATCAATGTGCCAAGTATGACGAAGAAATATGGTACGGTTTTCAAGTTCTGCTCCGGAAACGAGGACTACTGCCATTTTCAGTCTAAATCAAAGTCGTTGCCATGGAAACCCAAAAAATAATTTTTTTTTTAAATCCCAAACTATCAAAAGGCACCAGTTCACCACTAGATCAATCTATGTGTCAAGTTTGGTGAAGAAATATGGTACGGTTTTCAAGATCTGCTCCGGAAACGAGGACTACTGCCATTTTCAGTCTAAATCAAAGTCGTTGCCATGGAAACTCGAAAAATAACTTTAAAAAAAAATCCAAAACTATCCAAAGGCACCAGTTCACCACTAGACCTATCTATGTGCCAAGTATGACGAAGAAATATGGTACGGTTTTCAAGATCTGCTCCGGAAACGAGGACTACTGCCATTTTCAGTCTAAATCAAAGTTGTTGCCAAGGAAACTCGAAAAATAACTTTTTTTTAAATCCCAAACTATCAAAAGGCACCAGTTCACCACTAGATCTATCTATGTGCCATGTTTGGTGAGGAAATATGGTACGGTTTTCAAGATCTGCTCCGGAAACGAGGACTACCGCCATTTTCAGTCTAAATCAAAGTCGTTGCCATGGAAACTCGAAAAATAATTTTTTTTAAAATCCCAAACTATCAAAAGGCACCAGTTCAACACTAGATCTATCTATGTGTCAAGTTTGGTGAAGAAATATGGTACGGTTTTCAAGATCTGCTCCGGAAAAGAGGACTACTGCCATTTTCAGTCTAGATCAAAGTCGTTGCCATGGAAACTCAAAAAATAATTTTTTTAAAAATCCCAAACTATCAAAAGGCACCAGTTCACCACTAGATCTATCTATGTGTCAAGTTTGGTGAAGAAATATGGTACGGTTTTCAAGATCTGCTCCGGAAACGAGGACTACCGTCATTTTCAGTCTAAATCAAAGTCGTTGCCATGGAAACTCGAAAAATAACTTTAAAAAAAAATCCAAAACTATCCAAAGGCACCAGTTCACCACAAGACCTATCAATGTGCCAAGTATGACGAAGAAATATGGTACGGTTTTCAAGATCTGCTCCAGAAAGAGGACTACTGCCATTTTCAGTCTAGATCAAAGTCGTTGCCATGGAAACTCAAAAAATAATTTTTTTAAAAATCCCAAACTATCAAAAGGCACCAGTTCACCACTAGATCTATCTATGTGTCAAGTTTGGTGAAGAAATATGGTACGGTTTTCAAGATCTGCTCCGGAAACGAGGACTACCGTCATTTTCAGTCTAAATCAAAGTCGTTGCCATGGAAACTCGAAAAATAACTTTAAAAAAAAATCCAAAACTATCCAAAGGCACCAGTTCACCACAAGACCTATCAATGTGCCAAGTATGACGAAGAAATATGGTACGGTTTTCAAGATCTGCTCCAGAAAGAGGACTACTGCCATTTTCAGTCTAAATCAAAGTTGTTGCCAAGGAAACTCGAAAAATAACTTTTTTTTAAATCCCAAACTATCAAAAGGCACCAGTTCACCACTAGATCTATCTATGTGCCATGTTTGGTGAAGAAATATGGTACGGTTTTCAAGATCTGCTCCAGAAACGAGGACTACTGCCATTTTCAGTCTAAATCAAAGTCGTTGCCATGGAAACCCCCCCAAATTTTTTTTTTTAAATCCCAAACTATCAAAAGGCACCAGTTCACCACTAGATCTATCTATGTGCCAAGTTTGGTGAGGAAATATGGTACGGTTTTCAAGATCTGCTCCGGAAACGAGGACTACCGCCATTTTCAGTCTAAATCAGTCGTTGCCATGGAAACTCGAAAAATAACTTTAAAAAAAAATCCAAAACTATCCAAAGGCACCAGTTCACCACTAGACCTATCTATGTGCCAAGTATGATGAAGAAATATGGTACGGTTTTCAAGATCTGCTCCGGAAACGAGGACTACTGCCATTTTCAGTCTAAATCAAAGTTGTTGCCAAGGAAACTCGAAAAATAACATTTTTTTAAATCCCAAACTATCAAAAGGCACCAGTTCAACACTAGATCTATCTATGTGTCAAGTTTGGTGAAGAAATATGGTACGGTTTTCAAGATCTGCTCCGGAAACGAGGACTACTGCCATTTTCAGTCTAAATCAAAGTCGTTGCCATGGAAACTCAAAAAATAATTTTTTTTAAATCCCAAACTATCAAAAGGGACCAGTTCACCACTAGATCTATCTATGTGTCAAGTTTGGTGAAGAAATATGGTACGGTTTTCAAGATCTGCTCCGGAAACGAGGACTACTGCCATTTTCAGTCTAGATCAAAGTCGTTGCCATGGAAACTCAAAAAATAATTTTTTTTAAATCCCAAACTATCAAAAGGCACCAGTTCACCACTAGATCTATCTATGTGCCAAGTTTGGTGAAGAAATATGTTACGGTTTTCAAGATCTGCTCCGGAAACGAAATGTGACGGACGGACAGACGGCCGGCCGGACGGTAGGATGGACGGACGGCACCCATTCCTATATCCCCCTTCCACTTCGTGGCGGGGGATAATAAACATGGATCCATTGTAATATTTAGTTAACATGATATCAATTTCAAGAAGCCAGATGGCCTGTTTTTTCAAATTTGGGATTGAAAAAAACCTAATACTTATCAATAAAAGTATTCACAAACAGAGAAAAAGTTCGAAAGGTTTCCATGATCCAATCCCATGTAACATGTTTTCAACCAACCAGACTGCAGCACACACTCCCATCCATTTTACACCCATGTTAACATGTACATGATGTAGTGGAAGTTTCACCAGGGTTTCTTACCTCCATGCCTTTGCCTCGGATTCAACCAAGCACCATTCTGAAAGAATTTATCTCAGATTAAACATTTAGTCAGCATGTAGGTTCTATGGTGAGTGAATGTTCTCTAATGACAACCAGGTCTATGTTTAAGTGATAACAAGGATCAGGATCTGAAGGTGTTTAAAGTATTTTATGTTTAATATTCACCAAAAAGTATTTCAAATCAAGACTGGTGAAACGTTACCAGGACCGGGATTTTTAATTACTGTAATTCTGTATGATCAGCAGATCAAAATGTCCCCCAATACAATGCAATTGCTAATGAAAAACTACTTAAAGGCCACACATTTTTTATTTTTTGTTTCACGGGCTTTGCCCTTACTGAAAAGCGCCTAGAAAAGAAATAAATTAAACATAAAAATATATAATTTTATTGTCTCACGCTAGTAATATCGAACCTCAAAAGAAAAATGCTACATATAATCTCCATGTCTACATAACTATCAGTGATTCAATAAGCTAGCTGCAGTTTTAACTCCATGGCAGAATGAATGAATGAATGAATGAATGAATGAATGAATGAATGAATGAATGAATGAATAAGTAAATAAATAAATAAATAAATAAATAAATAAATAAATAAATAAATAAATAAATAAATAAATAAATAAATAAATAAATAAATAAATAAATAAATAAATAAATAAAATGACACAGCTATTTATTTCTACTTTTATTTCGACAGACCTTGTGTGGAAAAGCTGGAACAAGTCCGTGAAACATAAAATATGAAACACAAAGCGTGGCCTAACCGACAAAAGACTATCACTAAAGTCACTACATCTGTGCTCAATGCTTCACATAATAAACATCTTATCAGAACTGATTCAATGTAATTTAGCAAAGATGCAATTCTGTCATGCAAGGTTGCTTCATTGATGTAGGTGTTGCTTGATCATGTTGATAACTTCTGTCTTCAGTTATTTGAGAAGAAATGACATTATGGTATCCCTTGTCCCAAGTATTTATGTACCAAGTATGTGATATCAGTAATACGAACCGTTGGTTGATTTGATACAAATGTTGTTGTCTTGACGATGGAGACCCTGCAAGAAAATGAATTGCCTCTTGAACATTGATATAATATTGAATAGGTCTAATGAACAGAAAACTTCACAGGTCTGAAAAAGATGAGTTGACACCTGTTCCATGTTACACTCCACCCTTGAAGACCTGAGGTAGAATAGGTCTTCAGCAACCCATGCTTGCCGTAGAAGGCGACTATGCTTGTCGTGAGAGGCAACTAACAGGAACGGGTGGTCAGGCTCACTGACTTGTTTGATGCATGTCATCTGTCCCAATTGCGTTGATCAATGCTCATGATGTCAATCACTGGATTGTCTGGTCCAGAGTCGATTATTTACAGACCGCCGTCATATAGCTGTAATATTGCCAAGTGCGGCGTTAAACAACAAACAAACAAACAAATAAACACAAACAAACAAAAAACATGTTACACTGTGGTCAACTAGGATTGAGTAAATGGAGATGTGGTCAGCAATACCAAAAGAATTTGAATCTGAACCTGTGGTTTGCCTGATCCAGACAAAATTATTTATTGGCAAATGTTATACAACCATCAACAATAGTCCAGATATATAAGAAATACTATTCGCCTGTTCACTCATTAAAAATCAACACGGTCCGACTTATGGACAGTATGACGACTGAAATGTCAACTCATTTGGTTTTACCATCACCTCCAACACTGGTTGACAGCATGACAACGATCCAAGCTGTCTGAGTACCATGACATACAATCACATGGTGTCTGAGTACCATGACATACAATCTCATGCTGTCTGAGTACCATGACATACAATCACATGCTGTCTGAGTACCGTGACATAAAATCACATGCTGTCTGAGTACCATGACATACAATCACATGGTGTCTGAGTACCATGACATACAATCACATGCTGTCTGAGTACCTTGACATACAATCACATGCTGTCTGAGTACCATGACATACAATCACATGGTGTCTGAGTACCATGACATACAATCACATGCTGTCTGAGTGCCATGACATACAATCTCATGCTGTCTGAGTACCATGACATACAATCACATGGTGTCTGAGTACCATGACATACAATCTCATGCTGTCTGAGTACCATGACAACGATCCAAGCTGTCTGAGTACCATGACATACAATCACATGGTGTCTGAGTACCATGACATACAATCTCATGGTGTCTGAGTACCATGACATACAATCACATGCTGTCTGAGTACCGTGACATAAAATCACATGCTGTCTGAGTACCATGACATACAATCACATGGTGTCTGAGTACCATGACATACAATCACATGCTGTCTGAGTACCTTGACATACAATCACATGCTGTCTGAGTACCATGACATACAATCACATGGTGTCTGAGTACCATGACATACAATCACATGCTGTCTGAGTGCCATGACATACAATCTCATGCTGTCTGAGTACCATGACATACAATCACATGGTGTCTGAGTACCATGACATACAATCTCATGCTGTCTGAGTACCATGACAACGATCCAAGCTGTCTGAGTACCATGACATACAATCACATGCTGTCTGAGTACCATGACATACAATCTCATGGTGTCTGAGTACCGTGACATACAATCACATGCTGTCTGAGTACCATGACATACAATTACATGGTGTCTGAGTACCATGACATACAATCACATGGTGTCTGAGTACCATGACATACAATCACATGCTGTCTGAGTACCATGACATACAATCACATGCTGTCTGAGTACCGTGACATACAATCACATGCTGTCTGAGTACCATGACATACAATCTCATGCTGTCTGAGTACCATGACATACAATCACATGGTGTCTGAGTACCATGACATACAATTACATGCTGTCTGAGTACCATGACAACGATCCAAGCTGTCTGAGTACCATGACATACAATCACATGCTGTCTGAGTACCGTGACATACAATCTCATGCTGTCTGAGTACCATGACATACAATCTCATGCTGTCTGAGTACCATGACATACAATCACATGCTGTCTGAGTACCGTGACATACAATCACATGCTGTCTGAGTACCGTGAAATACAATCACATGCTGTCTGAGTACCTTGACATACAATCTCATGGTGTCTGAGTACCGTGACATACAATCACATGCTGTCTGAGTACCATGACAAAAATCCATGCTGTCTGAGTACCATGACATACAATCACATGCTGTCTGAGTACCATGACATACAATCACATGCTGTCTGAGTACCATGACATACAATCACATGCTGTCTGAGTACCGTGACATACAATCTCATGCTGTCTGAGTACCGTGACATACAATCACATGCTGTCTGAGTACAATGACATACAATCTCATGCTGTCTGAGTACCTTGACATACAATCACATGCTGTCTGAGTACCGTGACATACAATCACATGCTGTCTGAGTACCGTGACATACAATCTCATGCTGTCTGAGTACCGTGACAAACAATCACATGCTGTCTGAGTACCGTGACATACAATCTCATGCTGTCTGAGTACCGTGACATACAATCTCATGCTGTCTGAGTACCGTGACATACAATCACATGCTGTCTGAGTACCATGACATACAATCACATGCTGTCTGAGTACCATGACATACAATCACATGCTGTCTGAGTACCGTGACATACAATCACATGGTGTCTGAGTACCATGACATACAATCACATGCTGTCTGAGTACCATGACATACAATCACATGCTGAGTACCATGACATACAATCACATGGTGTCTGAGTACCGTGACATACAATCACATGCTGTCTGAGTACCGTGACATACAATCTCATGCTGTCTGAGTACCATGACATGCAATCACATGGTGTTTGAGTACCGTGACATACAATCACATGCTGTCTGAGTACCGTGACATACAATCTCATGCTGTCTGAGTACCGTGACATACAATCACATGCTGTCTGAGTACCATGACATACAATCACATGCTGTCTGAGTACCGTGACATACAATCTCATGTTGTCTGAGTACCGTGACATACAATCACATGCTGTCTGAGTACCATGACATACAATCACATGCTGTCTGAGTACCGTGACATACAATCACATGGTGTCTGAGTACCATGACATACAATCACATGCTGTCTGAGTACCGTGACATACAATCACATGCTGTCTGAGTACCATGACATACAATCACATGGTGTCTGAGTACCGTGACATACAATCACATGGTGTCTGAGTACCATGACATACAATCACATGCTGTCTGAGTACTGTGACATACAATCACATGCTGTCTGAGTACCATGACATACAATCACATGCTGTCTGAGTACCATGACATACAATCACATGCTGTCTGAGTACCATGACATACAATCTCATGCTGTCTGAGTACCATGACAACGATCCAAGCTGTCTGAGTACCGTGACATACAATCACATGCTGTCTGAGTACCATGACATACAATCTCATGGTGTCTGAGTACCGTGACATACAATCACATGCTGTCTGAGTACCATGACATACAATTACATGGTGTCTGAGTACCATGACATACAATCACATGGTGTCTGAGTACCATGACATACAATCACATGCTGTCTGAGTACCATGACATACAATCACATGCTGTCTGAGTACCGTGACATACAATCACATGCTGTCTGAGTACCATGACATACAATATCATGCTGTCTGAGTACCATGACATACAATCACATGCTGTCTGAGTACCATGACATACAATTACATGCTGTCTGAGTACCATGACAACGATCCAAGCTGTCTGAGTACCATGACATACAATCACATGCTGTCTGAGTACCATGACATACAATCTCATGCTGTCTGAGTACCATGACATACAATCACATGGTGTCTGAGTACCGTGACATACAATCACATGCTGTCTGAGTACCGTGACATACAATCACATGCTGTCTGAGTACCGTGACATACAATCACATGCTGTCTGAGTACCTTGACATACAATCTCATGGTGTCTGAGTACCGTGACATACAATCACATGCTGTCTGAGTACCATGACAAAAATCCATGCCGTCTGAGTACCATGACATACAATCACATGCTGTCTGAGTACCATGACATACAATCACATGGTGTCTGAGTACCATGACATACAATCACATGCTGTCTGAGTACCATGACATACAATCACATGGTGTCTGAGTACCGTGACATACAATCACATGCTGTCTGAGTACAATGACATACAATCTCATGCTGTCTGAGTACCGTGACATACAATCACATGGTGTCTGAGTACCGTGACATACAATCACATGCTGTCTGAGTACCGTGACATACAATCTCATGCTGTCTGAGTACCGTGACATACAATCACATGCTGTCTGAGTACCGTGACATACAATCACATGCTGTCTGAGTACCGTGACATACAATCTCATGCTGTCTGAGTACCGTGACATACAATCACATGCTGTCTGAGTACCATGACATACAATCACATGCTGTCTGAGTACCGTGACATACAATCACATGGTGTCTGAGTACCATGACATACAATCACATGCTGTCTGAGTACCGTGACATACAATCACATGGTGTCTGAGTACCATGACATACAATCACATGCTGTCTGAGTACCATGACATACAATCACATGCTGAGTACCATGACATACAATCACATGGTGTCTGAGTACCGTGACATACAATCACATGCTGTCTGAGTACCGTGACATACAATCTCATGCTGTCTGAGTACCATGACATACAATCACATGGTGTCTGAGTACCGTGACATACAATCACATGCTGTCTGAGTACCGTGACATACAATCTCATGCTGTCTGAGTACCGTGACATACAATCACATGCTGTCTGAGTACCGTGACATACAATCACATGCTGTCTGAGTACCGTGACATACAATCTCATGTTGTCTGAGTACCGTGACATACAATCACATGCTGTCTGAGTACCATGACATACAATCACATGGTGTCTGAGTACCGTGACATACAATCACATGCTGTCTGAGTACCATGACATACAATCACATGCTGTCTGAGTACCGTGACATACAATCACATGGTGTCTGAGTACCGTGACATACAATCACATGCTGTCTGAGTACCGTGACATACAATCACATGGTGTCTGAGTACCATGACATACAATCACATGCTGTCTGAGTACTGTGACATACAATCACATGCTGTCTGAGTACCATGACATACAATCACATGCTGTCTGAGTACCATGACATACAATCACATGGTGTCCGAGTACCATGACATACAATCACATGCTGTCTGAGTACCATGACATACAAGCACATGCTGTCTGAGTACAATGACATACAATCTCATGCTGTCTGAGTACCGTGACATACAATCACATGCTGTCTGAGTACAATGACATACAATCACATGCTGTCTGAGAACAATGACATACAATCACATGCTGTCTGAGTACCATGACATACAATCACATGCTGCAACAACACATCGTCCTTATCCACACACAGGGCATGGGGGAGCTTTTCTACCTGAAATCTCCATGGCAAGCTCCTTCAGAGATTCCAACACCAAACTGGGGAGTTTGGAATATCTCAATCTCAATAAAATCAGACCTAAGTTCTTGCTGCCGCTAAACAAAGATCTGAGGACATCCCATTACAGGTCACGAACGAGGAGTGGTACGTGAGAAGTGGTTCAGTGTGCCTCCCTCACCTGTAATCCTCCACGAACTTCATGTCATCCCGGTACAGGTAGTCCAGCGCCACCAGGAGCTGTTCTATCAGGGTCTTCACTGGAGGACTCAGTTTGACTTCCTCACCCAGGGCGTTCCGGACCACCTCGTCTTTATCCTCAACCAACACGCCAAACGATTTCTGTACCACAAAATATGCAGGCTGACCGTTCATTCTGACTTTCAGTTTCAGATTTCTAAGGTCTTTCAAGGCTCAACTATAAAGTTTGACAATACATAGCTTTTCATTTCAATTTGTTTGTTAGGCATATTATGTAGGAGACGATCATTGGGAGGGAGATACTGCCATGGTAACAACCAGAAATAGATCGTATACAAATCATTTTCTTCAATGTTTTGAGATTTCAACAGTGACCAACTATGACAAGATGTTTATGTAATTACTTGAGATGGGTACTTTTCAATGCCTATTATCTATTTTCAAGCCTGTGTGAATGGTTTGAACAATTCCTCAAGTGTCTGACTTCCAAGACACACCTTAGCTTCGGGATACTTCACTGGGCCCAGTCCGATACAATCCATCTGTGCCACGATGTCGAACCCCGACCAGATCTTGTACGACTGATCAAAGTCCTTCTGTTCCAGTTTGTCTGAATGTAGGTGTACAAACTGGTCCAGTCCAGTCATCTGATGATGGAAATTATATTACCATTAATGATACTGTGTTTAAATACAGTATTGTTGCAATCAATGGATTTCAATGACGATGGATAAGTTTCAGATTTCAACAAATTAATCAATCATACAACCTGTGATCATTTATTTTTAAAACTACATAAGTTCATTTTACTGATTTCTGCAGACAAGTCATTGGCATTTGGCTGTCAATGTTTTAGGTGTGTTTTTGTTGTAGAGAAGCCTACACTAAAATACCATGTATGATTTTTGTTATTTTCTGTGTTGTTATTTACATAAGGGTGTTGAGAAAGAATGCTCTTAAAATATAATTTTCTAATGTCATTCATGAGTGATCATCAATAGATGAGGTGCTTTCTCAAAACCAAGAGTCACAGACCCTGACCACCTGCTTCTTCCAGAGGCAAGGGAGATAACTGACTGTAAAAGTCCAGTTTCCACCCTTGTCGAACTAGGCTGGAAATTCTCAGCTCGATCGTAGCGCCACCAGTGGCTATAATGGGTTCTGTCCCCTCTATGTCCCTTCTACTGACATATCAGATTCCAAACAAAATAGCGGCACCCAGTCAAGACAATCAGATTGGTAATCAAAATCTATATTGTAATAAGATGGGTCTCACGTGAGCACCTTTTCTTAGAAACATGAAAGGGTTTGGAAAATATCTGTTGGCTGTACACATGCTTTATAAATCCGGCAACTGACGGAAATCTGCAAGGAGTTGACGAACCGTATGCCGGTTTCTTTACGCAATTTTGATTGGACTATGCATAGACTCATTAATTATAAATTCCATAATTCCAGCCTACTTCGGCAAGGGTGGAAACTGGACTTTTATCGTCAGTTAAATCCATTGCCTAGGGAAGGTGGACTACCTGTTCCATAAAGTCATCGTGTATTACAAGCATAGGTTGCCGAGTACCAGTTCTGAAACCCATGAAGATCCGGGGTAGAATAGGTCTTCAGAAACCCATGCTTGCCATAAAAGGCAACTATGCATGTCATAAGAGGCGACTGACGGGTTCGGGTAGTCAGACTCGCTGACTTAGTTGATGCATGTCATTGTATACCAATGGCGCGGATCAATGCTCATGATGTCAATCATTGGATTGTCTGGTCCAGACTCCATTATTTACAGACCACCGTCATATAGCTGGAATATTGCTGAGTGCGGCGTTAAACAACAAACAAACAAACAAACCAATTCTGGAATCAACACATGGGTCTAGCGCTACTGTTAGTGCACTGAGTGAAATCAAATGGCATCATTTCAATTAATGATGATTCAGTTTATTTCTCATCTGACTTACCACCTTCTCCAGCAACATTGAGTCTGATGCATCTACTCCAGCGTTCACTGAAGGAAAGAACACAGTCTTAAGTGGGTAGTACCCAAAGCAGGTATAGTCTGGGACTTATCATGCTCATGGTCACGTGTTATTTTTTTTTCAACCTAGATCAATTGTGATGCATCGATAGTGTGATAAATCATCACACCCCTTTCTGCAATAGTACTACAAATTTCATAATTTCAACAGTGTCTTACCTAATATCTTTAAAGAGTAAGTAAAGTCAACATAGCAACTTTGCAGATTATAATACTTTAGGGCATACTTAATAATGAATGCTTGAACAAAATTAAAATTGAAAAAGGAAATAGTGTAAAACAGACAATAAAGAACAACAGGCAAAATTGTCCCCCTCAAAATTCCCCCACTGAGGGGATCCCCCTCACTGGGGTTAAAACCGGTTCCCGGTGTTTGATGCGCCGAAATTAATGTAAACAATATTGAATGAAATTTTAAATAAAATTAATTAACTATATTACAAACATAAGTCCAGATATACAATGAATCATTTTTATAACCAGATAATATAATAATGGGATCAAATTGTGTGCTCGTGGTGATCAGCTTATGTTTTTTGAGATGAGGAAAAAACTTGTTTGTGTAAAACTTGAGTTGATTAAAAATGCAAGTAAATTTTGGGAGCCAAGCATTATGACACGCTACAATCAAGTTAGTGCTATAATGAAGGGCCCGATAGCCAGGGAACACAGTACTATATAACTAATAAAGAAGTTGTTTATCCATAGTACTATCTCCCCTGTCCAGTGTCCTGAACTATCAATAATAATTCTCCCGATGTCAGTGGTATTCCTGTTGCCCCGGCCCAACCTACCCATGGCTCGCAGCTCTGTGATGGCCTTCTGTATGAGCTCCTGTCTCAAGCTCTGACTGCCCGCTTCCCGTGACGAGTCCTCAATGTTGTGAGCCTCATCTAGGATGATTATCTGGTCCTTCAAGTTTATCTCCATCTGTAAATATAATGGAAATAACAGTAGAAATTCAATGTTGTGAGAATTCTTAGAAAAGCATCAGTTCTGTTTGAGGGTGCTGCTAGTCAATTGTCTTGATTTTCTAGCCTCAGGCTCAATCAAATTAGTTACTTGTTTAACAGATGGAAAGACAACTGCAAACTCTTGGTAATCTGACTTGTAAATACATGCTAGATTCAAACAATCATGCTCCAAGAGTGGCTGTAGCATGATCCCAGCAGCTGGCACATGAACAATGATGAAACATAGATCATTGAGGATCAAGTTCACTGTTAAATCATCAGAGTAAATTGTTCATGACCTCTTGCATTAAGAATTGGCTTCTGTTTGTTTCATTTTCAACAGACACTTTTACAGTTCAAAACTCTCCTATGATGGACCTCTCTCTCCCTGATGATGATGGGACTCTGATGATTACCTTACGCTGTTTCTCATGATTACCTTGCACTGTCTCTCATGATTACCTTACGCTGTTTCTCATGATTACCTTGCACTGTCTCTCATGATTACCTTACGCTGTCTCTGATGATTACCTTACACTGTCTCTGATGATTACCTTGCGCTGTCTCTCATGATTACCTTGCACTGTGTCTCATGATAACCTTGCACTGTCTCTCATGATTACTTTACACTGTCTCTCATGATTACCTTACGCTGTCTCTCATGATTACCTTGCGCTGTCTCTCATGATTACCTTGCGCTGTCTCTCATAATTACCTTACGCTGTCTTTGATGATTACCTTACACTGTCTCTGATGATTACCTCACGCTGTCTCTGATGATTACCTTGCACTGTCTCTCATGATTACCTTGCACTGTCTCTGATGATTACTTTACACTGTCTCTGATGATTACCTTACGCTGTCTCTGATGATTACCTTGCGCTGTCTCTGATGATTACCTTACACTGTCTCTGATGATTACCTTACGCTGTCTCTGATGATTACCTTGCACTGTCTCTGATGATAACCTTGCACTGTCTCTCATGATAACCTTGCACTGTCTCTCATGATTACCTTTCACTGTCTCTCATGATTACCTTACGCTGTCTCTGATGATTACCTTGCGCTGTCTCTCATGATTACCTTACGCTGTCTCTGATGATTACCTTACACTGTCTCTGATGATTACCTTACGCTGTTTCTGATGATTACCTTGCACTGTCTCTCATGATAACCTTGCACTGTCTCTCATGATTACTTTACACTGTCTCTCATGATTACCTTACGCTGTCTCTCATAATTACCTTACACTGTCTCTGATGATTACCTTACACTGTCTCTGATGATTACCTTACGCTGTCTCTGATGATTACCTTGCACTGTCTCTGATGATTACCTTGCACTGTCTCTCATGATAACCTTGCACTGTCTCTCATGATTACTTTACACTGTCTCTGATGATTACCTTACGCTGTCTCTGATTATTACCTTGCGCTGTCTCTCATGATTACCTTACGCTGTCTTTGATGATTACCTTACACTGTCTCTGATGATTACCTTACACTGTCTCTGATGATTACCTTACGCTGTCTCTGATGATTACCTTACGCTGTCTCTGATGATTACCTTACACTGTCTCTGATGATTACCTTACGCTGTCTTTGATGATTACCTTACACTGTCTCTGATGATTACCTTACACTGTCTCTGATGATTACCTTACGCTGTCTCTGATGATTACCTTACACTGTCTCTGATGATTACCTTACACTGTCTCTGATGATTACCTTACGCTGTCTCTCATAATTACCTTACACTGTTTCGCATGATAACCTTACACTGTCTCTCATGATTACCTTACGCTCTCTCTGATGATGCTGTACATACGCTCTCTCTGATGATGCTGTACTAACGCTGTCTCTGATGATGCTGTACGTATGCTCTCTCTGATGATGCTGTACATACGCTCTCTCTGATGATGCTGTACTTACGCTGTCTCTGATGATGCTGTACATACGCTCTCTCTGATGATGCTGTACTTACGCTCTCTCTGATGATGCTGTACTTACGCTCTCTCTGATGATGCTGTACTTACGCTCTCTCTGATGATGTTGTACTTACGCTCTCTCTGATGATGCTGTACTTACGCTCTCTCTGATGATAGGGTCCACCAGGTAGTTGTAGGGGCAGATGATGATCTCAGATTGTTCCTTCAGAGCTCGTGTCAGGAAGTAGGGACAGGCCTGAAGGAGGATCCAGAGAATGTTACCTTACACCCAGTCACACATATTCCAGCAGTAAACAAGGAGATGACATATCCCCCTGTTTGGTGCAATTTGGAAAAGGAGTTAAGCTACTGGTTATAAGTAGCTTTTCAGTACTTTTAAAAATCCAAAATCATCAAATGACACCAGTTCACCACTTGACTGATCTGCATAGCAAGTTTCATCAAGAAATATTTGACGGTTTTAGAGTTCTTCTCCGGAAATGAGCATTTCCCTCATTTTCAGTATCAGTCCAACTTGTTGTGATAAAAACATAAAAAAATAAAAGAGACAAAAATCCCATATCATCAAAGGGCTCCAGTTGACCACTAGATAAATCTGTATAGCAAGATTATTCCAGAAATATTACCGTAAACGATTTTGGAGCTCTGCGTCAGACATGTTGATCACTATATCCGTAGAAATAAAAAAACAGGGCTGGGCCAGGCTGACTGACCACATGTAGTCCAGGTTTGTGTGTCTGGTTACTAGCTAGAGAGTGAGCATCTTCCCGAGGCAAGGGAGTTAACTGACTATTAAAGTCTAGTTTCCATCCTTGCTGAACAAGGCTGAAATTCCGGAGTTATCTTTTGGCTGGAATCTATGCATAGTTCAATCAAAATCAACATCTGGTTCATAAACTGCCGTGGAGATTTCACTCGATTGCAGGATTTGCAAACCATGTGTTCCATCAACAGCGTCCACAGATTTTTTCCAAATCTTTTCATGTCTTTTCCAGTAAATTGATCCCCTTTGAGAGTTCAGACCCATTTTATTACAATATAGACCTTGATTATCGATACTCTCGGTTTGACTGGGGGCCCCCATTTTGTTTGAAGCCAAAGCAAGTTATATGAAAAGTGGAATCTGATTGGTCAATAGGAGGGACATAGAAGGGCATAACTCGTAATAGCCACTGGTTGCGCTATGATCGAGCCACGAAATTCCAGTGTAGTTTGGTAAGGGTAAAAATCTGGACATTTACAGTCAGTTAACTCCCTTGCCTTGGGAAGATGGAGAGTGCATGATAGAGGAATAGAGTGGTTTGGTTGGTGAGTTGGTGGGTTGTTTGAATTGGAGGGCAATGAGTCTTTTGATTGAGCGATGCCAGCAATATTTTTTCAGCTTCACGCTTGCCTGTATGTCTGGGGCAGGCCAACCACTCTTATTGACAGCACAAGCGATGAGCCATGTCGTCAGGGTATGATGAAACACAATCACACAGATCACACATGAGTCTTCCCACTTCATGCTTGTCCCCTAGCCTGAGAAAACTAATAAAAATCCAATGATGGTTGTCCACACTGACCAGTAGCACTAGGGCTATAATTCTGAACCAGGTCTCGATTTTGCTACAAATTGGAACTCTGGACTAGTATTATAAGCCATGCTTACCATAAAGGGCGACTATCCTTGTCGTAAGATGCGACTAACGTGATCTGGTGGTCAGGCTCGCTGACTTGGTTGATGCATGTCATCGATCCCAATTGCATGGATCGATGCCCATGATGTCAATCACTGGATTGTCTGGTCCAGACTCGATTATTTACAGACCGCCATCATATAGCTGGAATATTGCTGAGCGCGGCGTTAAACAACAAACCAACCAACCAACCAACAAGCATGGGGTACTGGGGACCTAACCTCACCCAGTATTCCACAGAGTCCTAGGGAGAGGAATCAGATCATGAACACTGTACACATGGTTAATCCAGGATCCCAAGTGCTGCAGAGCGATCTCACCAGTCTGATCATCAGTCAACGTTAAAGGACTGGAGCTGGATCAGTCGTAGCGCTAGGATCGCTCCACCATACACTGCCCTGAGTCCTACCTTTTGCTTCTTGCACATGTTCACCATGTCCTCGAGGTCCCAGGCCGTCATCAGCCCCATCCGACGGATGCCCTCCTGGCTTGAGATGGACTTGGCCCGGTCCTTCATCCGACAGCCAGGACCCTAATTGGAACGAGGTAACACTCAGACTTCATGTAGGGACTCTTAATAACGATTATTGGTGGACCCTTGACCTCTAGTGTTGTAGGTCAAGGTGAAACCTGAGGGACTGCCATTTGGCCTTTTGCCGCGAGAGGTGACAATCTAGAGGGAATGGTTGTTTTCTCCCCAGTTTCAAGTATACATAAACCACCTGTCTGATATGAGTGGAAAATTACATTATGACAATTAGTTACTACGTTAAACTACGTTTATAACGACAATCTTATAACAAACTTATTTTTTATCCCTACTATTTGTAGTAGTTATGCTGTATTTATACTTATTATGAACTACAGTTATAACAAACTGAAATTGGTGGTCCCTTTGTGTTTGTTATAACCATAGTTTACTGTACATGTTAAAAACTGTCAGTAAATTGTGAAAAGAAAGGAACTTTCATTTTTTCTTTATTGATACCAAATTGAAATTACTTTTAAAAGATCAGTTGGAAAACTTGTTACCACAAGTATTTGTCACAGAGTGACGAAATATCCCCCGCCATATACACCATAGTACCAAATATGAAGACAATCCAGCGATTAGTTCTTGAGATATTGTGGCAACACCGTTTTCCAACTCCAAAAGCAGATTTGCCTGCTGTGACCTTGAAAATGGGGTCAAGGTCACCAAATCTGACAGGTGTATGCGGTGTCTGTATATACACTATAGTTCCAAATATGAAGACAATCCAGCGATTAGTTCTTGAGATATCGCGGCAACACCGTTTTCTAACTCCAAAAGCAGATTTGCCTGCTGTGACCTTGAAAATGGGGTCAAGGTCACCAAAACCGACTGGTGTCTGCGGTGTCTGTATATACACCATAGTTCCAAATATGAAGACAATCGAGAGGTTTAGTTCTTGAGATATCGCGGCAACACCGTTTTCCATTTCTAAAAGCAGATTTGCCTGCTGTGACCTTGAAAATGGGATCAAGGTCACCAAAACCGACTGGTGTCTGCGGAGTCTGTATATACACTATAGTTCCAAATATGAAGACAATCCAGTGTTTAGTTCTTGAGATATCGCGGCAACACCGTTTTCCAACTCCAAAAGCAGATTTGCCTGCTGTGACCTTGAAAATGGGGTCAAGGTCACCAAAACCGACTGGTGTCTGCGGTGTCTGTATATACACCATAGTTCCAAATATGAAGACAATCCAGTGTTTAGTTCTTGAGATATCGCGGCAACACCGTTTTCCAACTCTAAAAGCAGATTTGTCTGCTGTGACCTTGAAAATGGGATCAAGGTCACCAAAACCGACTGGTGTCTGAGGAGTCTGTATATACACCATAGTTCCAAATATGAAGACAATCCAGTGTTTAGTTCTTGAGATATCGCGGCAACACCGTTTTCCAACTCTAAAAGCAGATTTGTCTGCTGTGACCTTGAAAATGGGTTCAAGGTCACCAAAACCGACTGGTGTCTGCGGAGTCTGTATATACACCATAGTTCCAAATATGAAGACAATCCAGTGTTTAGTTCTTGAGATATCGCGGCAACAAACAGGTGGGACGTACGGACGGACAGACGGACGTACGGACGGACACACGGACGGTTTCGCGCGGCGGGGGATAATAAATGATATAAGGCTGTACCTTCAACAGTTCCTGACAGCCCTCGTTCTTGCTGGCCATCTTGGACACCACGGGGTGGATACAGGTGTGCTCCCTACTCCCCAGTATCGTCATGCTGTCCACAGAAACACCAGGATTACACCACACCGGCCATTACAGAAACACAAGGATTACACCACACCGGCCATTACAGAAACACCAGGATCACACCACACTGGCCATTACAGAAACACCAGGATTACACCACACCGGCCATTACAGAAACACCAGGATCACACCACACCACACCGGCCATTACAGAAACACCAGGATTACACCACACCGGCCATTATAGAAACACCAGGATCACACCACACCGGCCATTACAGAAACAACAGGATCACACCACACCGGCCATTACAGAGACTCTAGGATCACACCACACCGGCCATTACAGAAACACCAGGATCACACCACACCAGCCATTACAGAGACACCAGGATCACACCACACCGGCCATTACAGAGACACCAGGATCACACCACACCGGCCATTACAGAGACTCTAGGATCACACCACACCGGCCATGACAGAAACACAAGGATTAAACCACACCGGCCATTACAGAGACACCAGGATCACACCACACCGGCCATTACAGAGACTCTAGGATCACACCACACCGGCCATTACAGAGACACCAGGATCACACCACACCGGCCTTTACAGAGACACCAGGATTACACCACACTGGCCATTACAGAAACACCAGGATCACACCACACCGGCCATTACAGAGACACCAGGATCACACCACGCCGGCCATTACAGAGACACCAGGATCACACCACACCGGCCATTAAAGAGACACCAGGATCACACCACGCCTGCCATTACAGAAACACCAGGATCACACCACACTGGCCATTACAGAAACACCAGGATTACACCACACCGGCCATTACAGAAACACCAGGATCACATCACACCACACTGGCCATTACAGAAACACCAGGATCACATAACACCACACTGGCCATTACAGAAACACCAGGATTACACCACACTGGCCATTACAGAAACACCAGGATTACACCACACCGGCCATTACAGAAACACCAGGATCACACCACACTGGCCATTACAGAAACACCAGGATCACACCACACTGGCCATTACAGAAACACCAGGATTACACCACACTGGCCATTACAGAAACACCAGGATCACATCACACTGGCCATTACAGAAACACCAGGATCACATCACACCACACTGGCCATTACAGAAACACCAGGATCACATAACACCACACTGGCCATTACAGAAACACCAGGATTACACCACACTGGCCATTACAGAAACACCAGGATTACACCACACCGGCCATTACAGAAACACCAGGATCACACCACACTGGCCATTACAGAAACACCAGGATCACACCACACCGGCCATTACAGAAACACCAGGATCACACCACACTGGCCATTACAGAAACACCAGGATCACACCTCACCGGCCATTACAGAAACACCAGGATTACACCACACCAGCCATTATAGAAACACCAGGATCACACCACACCGGCCATTACAGAGACTCTAGGATCACACCACACCGGCCATTACAGAAACACCAGGATCACACCACACCAGCCATTACAGAGACACCAGGATCACACCACACCGGCCATTACAGAGACACCAGGATCACACCACACCGGCCATTACAGAGACTCTAGGATCACACCACACCGGCCATGACAGAAACACAAGGATTAAACCACACCGGCCATTACAGAGACACCAGGATCACACCACACCGGCCATTACAGAGACTCTAGGATCACACCACACCGGCCATTACAGAGACACCAGGATCACACCACACCGGCCTTTACAGAGACACCAGGATTACACCACACTGGCCATTACAGAAACACCAGGATCACACCACACCGGCCATTACAGAGACACCAGGATCACACCACGCCGGCCATTACAGAGACACCAGGATCACACCACACCGGCCATTAAAGAGACACCAGGATCACACCACGCCTGCCATTACAGAAACACCAGGATCACACCACACTGGCCATTACAGAAACACCAGGATTACACCACACCGGCCATTACAGAAACACCAGGATCACATCACACCACACTGGCCATTACAGAAACACCAGGATCACATAACACCACACTGGCCATTACAGAAACACCAGGATTACACCACACTGGCCATTACAGAAACACCAGGATTACACCACACCGGCCATTACAGAAACACCAGGATCACACCACACTGGCCATTACAGAAACACCAGGATCACACCACACTGGCCATTACAGAAACACCAGGATTACACCACACTGGCCATTACAGAAACACCAGGATCACATCACACTGGCCATTACAGAAACACCAGGATCACATCACACCACACTGGCCATTACAGAAACACCAGGATCACATAACACCACACTGGCCATTACAGAAACACCAGGATTACACCACACTGGCCATTACAGAAACACCAGGATTACACCACACCGGCCATTACAGAAACACCAGGATCACACCACACTGGCCATTACAGAAACACCAGGATCACACCACACCGGCCATTACAGAAACACCAGGATCACACCACACTGGCCATTACAGAAACACCAGGATCACACCTCACCGGCCATTACAGAAACACCAGGATTACACCACACCAGCCATTACAGAGACACCAGGATCACACCACACCGGCCATTACAGAAACACCAGGATCACATCACACCACACCGGCCATTACAGAAACACCAGGATCACATCACACCACACTGGCCATTACAGAAACACCAGGATTACACCACACTGGCCATTACAGAAACACGAGGATCACACCACACCGGCCATTACAGAGACACCAGGATCACACCACACCGGCCATTACAGAAACACCAGGATCACATCACACCACACCGGCCATTACAGAAACACCAGGATCACACCACACTGGCCATTACAGAAACACCAGGATCACACCACACCGGCCATTACAGACCATATATTCAATTTGGATGAGGAATTCGATGAGTAATTCAATACCTATTTTGTGGTCTGAAACACTACTATGTGTAGGATATTTATCATCATACAACTGAGGCATAATAATGCACACACTGCAAGGGATTTAGTTAAAAATATTTTCCATTCACCATTCTCAAAATATGGGTTTTTTCCAAACTTTGTATTTTCTTAAATTCAGAGGTCACTTTAAACATTGTATTTTAACATTACATTCAATGCAATAATAAACAAAAGCCTCTATTGTTGTCATCTTCCCAAGGCAAGGGCAATAAATTAACTATAAAAGTCAAGTTTCCACCCTTGCCGAACAAGGCTGGAATTTTCATTTTCGATCGTCTCACCACCAGTGGCTATTACAGGTTCTGTGTCCTTCCTACTGACCAATCAAATTCCACCTCTCATATCACATGTGTTTGCTCCAAACAAAATGGCAGCGCCCAGTCAAGATGATCTGATCGATAATAAATATATTGTAATAAAACTGGTCTTATCCCGCAAAGTGTATCAAGTCTTGAGTACCTTGGTTAAAAACAAGAAACGATTTGCAAAATATCTGCTGACGCCAAGTTGGTGGTACACATGCTTTGCAATTCCTGCAGTCGACCACATTCTGCACCGGGGTGGAAACTGGACTTTAAAAGTCAGTAAACGCCTTTCCCTCGGTATTCTTGCCATTACTCTACCAAAATGAATTTTGGATTTTTTCAATTCCAACTTTGGAAGTTTTACTGACATTTGTGGGTGACTATGAGCCCAGGAGCATGTCTACATGAATCCCTGACTGGATACTTGAGGATGGAAAATCATATCCTTGTTCACTTAATTTGAAAGTCTTTTGATTGTTAAAGTGATAATTGATGGTCAAGATATCCTGCATTTTCAGTTGACAAAATTTTACCAAAACACATGTCAACAATAAAGTTTTTAAAGACAAATCAATCTAATACCAAGAACAGGTATATACAGGGTACAGATATCACCTGCAATTTGTAAGCGTGCACAAAACCATTATTTTGTGGAATTGCAGTCTGGACCTGACAATCCAGTGACTGACATCAAGAGCATCAATCTATGCAATTTTGATACAATGACATGAATCAACCAAGTCAGCAAGCTTGACGACATGATCTTGTTTGTCGCCTCCTACGACAAGCTTTGGATCTTCACTTGGTCTGAATCACTTGTGTAAAATACCTGAAGTATACATAGTATACTTTCATCACAATCATTACTCGTGTGTTCAGTGGCCGAAGGGCCTGTAAAGATCCGGGGTAGAATAGGTCTTCAGCAACCCATACTTGCTGTAAAAGGCGACTATGCTTGTCATAAGAGGCGACTAACGGGATCAGGTGGTCAGGCTCGCTGACTTGGTTGATGCATGTCATCGAGCCCAATTGCGTGGATCGACGCTCATGATATCAATCAGTGTATTGTCTGGTCCAGACAAGATTATTTACAGACCGCCGTCATATAGCGGAGTGCGGGGGTAAACAACAAACAAACAAACAGGAGCCAAAGAGTTGTACAATGGCAGATGTCAGTACCGGCATGATGCTTGAATGTGACGTGGACTGTCTGTAAATATGTAACAGTGCTAATGTAAGTTTGGACAATCTTGATAACAGTGTCTTACTGCTCTTTGGTGTCGCTTACAGAAAGTGCAAGGACCCCTAGACCTTCATGATTAACTCTGGACACTGACAACTCATTACCTGACGTCAAGGTAGGCTGTTTTCTTCAGTTCCCGGACAATCTGAGCTACCTGTTTGTGTGTGCGGGTTCCGAAGTAGATTCGAGGGATTCTGGAAAAAAAACACATTCCCTGTGAAATAGTGTTGGTGATCTGAAATCAACTGAATCAGAAAAGATGGCATTATTTAAGAAATAAATGATGAGTAGGAGTTGTTTATCGTACAATAAAACACTGCAGGGAGAATAAACCATAAAGGGAGCAGCCCTTCTTCCAATAATGATTGTCATATCTCTCACCCTTTTGGATGTGATCATTCAGCCATCGCATTTATCTGTGTTGCCAAGCTACATCTATGGGGAACAACTCACTAGACAATCCCCTCTCAAAAATAATGCTATCCAATATACGATGTCATCAAGAACAACCTTTTGTGAACATTGACAGACCAATGAAATTACTAGAGGGAAGTCGACATAGCCACTAAGAATGCAGCTTTCTAGACTTTGCGGCACTAGTTTCAAACTGGCAACTGCCATTCCAGACTATGCTTTTAAATGTATTTTGAATCAGTCATACAGCCCGATACTGTAGTCTTTTGCTAAGCTTTAGAGGTTGTATGATTAGCATGATAAGGAAACAAATTCTGCTAACAATATATAATAACAATATGAATATTTCATTTTCCATTTTTCTATTAGTTGCTTGTATCGTTATCTATCATTGTAGTCCGATTTTCAATCACGTATGATGATACCACTTAATTTTTCGTTTACCCGACATAATTGTTTATCCGACATACTCGTTAATCCAACATACTTATATGCGACCAAGTCGGATTAACAGGACTTGACTGTATTACAACCACTTCCTTTATATTGACCCTGTTATAGGTAAACTATCGTGGCGGCCATATTGAAAATCAGATTCAAACCTCTTGAATCAAGCAAGGTGTCATCAATGGTGGGAACAAGCATGTGAAAAGTCACACTTTAGTGTCACACTTCAGTGAAGTGAATTCAGTCAGGTGAGCTAAACATATTTCTAAACTAAAACCCTAAGAAGACACATATATTTTACTTTTTTTTCTTGCTGGTGCTAAGAGTGGCACAGTCACATTCCTGGCAGTCTGTGATGGGGGGAGACACCATATTGACTGTCTCTATCTTCGTGTTGACTTCCATACTCTCAACCTTGGGCGTGTCCATGGTGCCTGGTTTTATTGGAGAGTCATCATATTCAATGATCACATGTCTCCGAAGCTTTTTGGATAAACTTGGCTGAAACAGAAACAATCATGACATTGATATATCCTTTGTTCTGAGACAGATGAAATATCCACTATCACTCATGAACAACACCAACTTGAATGATGAAGAAATAATGGCAGCCATCTTTAAACTAGGATCAGAATTCACCTATTTGTCAGTAGTAATTTTGACCAGAGTGAGGGCAGATAAATAGTGGTGGGGCGATACACCGATGCATCGTTGGATAGCAATGTTTTACTTCTCGATACTTTTACTTCTCGATCACAGTCACACACTAAATAAAACATATCGATTCTTACCTTTACAGTTCGCTTTATAATAACAGCTACACTAAACACTAATAAGGAGTCAAAATTAGAATTGAAAAACGGAAGTATTTTCATCCATTGTGCCATACTTGACACTGCCAACTGTAAATCATCAGTGTGCCAGGTATTTGGCCATTCTGTCTATGACCAAAAAATGGCTTAGGGACCACGGATAAGAGCACATGCAAGTATCGTGCATCGGCTCGCGAGCAAGGAATCATGTGCATATTGGATGGCACAGTTGGTGTATCATCCCAGCCCTACAGATAAAGTCAACCTCTCACAGTACAATGAACCTATGACTGTCCCCTCTTTGAGGCAGGAGGACACAGCCAGGTCTTATGGTATAAATCCTTGTATCCCTGTACCAAAGAGGATGACACACATGGTAGTATTTGTTTGTTTATTTGGTTAACGCCGCACTCAGCAATATGACGGTGGTCTGTAAAAAATCGAGTCTGGACCAGACAATCCAGTGATTGACGTTATGAGCATCAATCCACGCAAGGAATCATGTGCATATTGGATGGCACAGTTGGTGTATCATCCCAGCCCTACAGATAAAGTCAACCTCTCACAGTACAATGAACCTATGACTGTCCCCTCTTTGAGGCAGGAGGACACAGCCAGGTCTTATGGTATAAATCCTTGTATCCCTGTACCAAAGAGGATGACACACATGGAAGTATTTTGTTATTTGATTGTTTAACGCCGCACTCAACAATATTCCAGCTATATGACGGTGGTCTGTAAATAATCGAGGCTGGACCAAACAATCCAGTGATTGTCCTTATGAGCATCAATCCACGCAATTGGGATACGATGATATTGCATCAACCAAATCAGCAAGCCTGACCACCCGATCCAGTTAGTCGCCTTTTTTCGACAAGCATAGTCGCCTTTTGCTGATTCTATTCTACCCCGGATCTTCACGGGTCCTGACAGTTAAGAGAGAGTTATTATAGCCAAACCTGGTGGGTGCCAGGAGTCCTGAAAGTCTTGGAGTCTTCTTTAAAATCACCATCACCATCATCATCAACACAGATGATATCTTTCTCTGAAATTACACAAGACAACAAACACAACTAAAAAACACACTGCAAATGGCCAAAAACAGCAACAGATTTTCCAACTTAGAAAATGCCAAGACAAAATGGTAAAATAGTTCCTGAAATGTGAGGTGAGGTGAAATGGGGTTTAATGTTGCGTCAGGCCTACTAAAACAGTAGCCAATGGGACCTAAATTTCAGTTAGTCTACTGTCTAAAATTCAGAGGTAGCCAAATGACTACCAAGAAGAATATCTTGTGGCAACTAAATTCTGTTTCAATAACAGCTGATGTTAGAAAACACATTTCCTAATCAATGTTAATAATTGTACTCTCAAATAATTCCTCCTGAAGTCGACATATGAACCAAAATACATAAAAATAAATGTAATTAGTACTTTATTTTAGTTGACAATGCTCATTGGATAAGCGAGGATATACCTATATCATGTATATAATCTAGTAACATAAATTGCATCATTGTTCAAGTCACAAGTAACAAAATTCAAGTACAGTTTCCATTTAGATACAATTTCAAAACTAGTGCTGTAACTTGTACATATTATAATAGTCATTTGATTAAAGATAATTTCAAATGCTTTTGGCTACTACAATATTGGCTTGACTTCTTGATTTTACCACCGGCTACCTGGAAAAATATACTCGTAGCCATAGCTTCTTGGTAAAAATTTAAACTTTGAGGCCTGCGTGTCCAAGATTATTGCACTTACACTTGCGACTAGTATGCATGCGTATGTGCATGGCTACTTTTACTAGTCCGGACTAATGCCAATTTTAAAGTGCTACCCCACTCATACTCAGTATACTGTCTCAAAGCCAACAAGTCCTTCCTTTAGTCCTTAAATGCCGAGAGCAAGGCAGGGTAACAACAAGTACCATTTCTTAAGTCTTTTGGTATGATGCAGCCGGGGATTGAACCACTGATCTTACATGCTTCCACTAAACCACAGGGGCAGTCCTTCCTTATATGTACATAAGTACACCATCAGACATTACTTACCAAGTCTGAACGGACGATACAGTGATTGCTAATGACAGAGTGAATATCAAGCCTCCTATCAACCAAGAAATTGTAAAATGGGAAATTTTCTTACAAACTGATAGAATAAGTATATAAATATATAATTTATAAGAAAATTTCAAATTTTTTAAACATATCCTACATCTCACTATGCATTTATCCCTCAGCTGGAATGTGGGCGCAGATACCCAAGCTTGATCCTAGCCTGAACGACCTAGCCTCACAACCGTGAGACAACACGAGGAAGCTGGTTTCAAACAGTGAAATAAAACAAATAAATTAGAACACTGTCCAGTGTAGTAAATGACAATAACTTGTGAGCAGGAAAACACAGCAAGAACTGGTGAAACAATCCAAATACGCTACATGGACCTAACAGCATGAGATGGGGTAGAACATATGGAATGACGAAGAAAGAAGTACTGCATAGTGTGAGATAAGGATAAGTTAAAAAAATTAAAATATTATTCAAATTTCTGGGGAATCAAGATGAGAAACCATATGGGTTAAGTATGAGAAAGGGAGGGTTCTAGGTGTTACCATAGTTACCTTTAGCACAAGGTGTTGCTGCAGCCCCTTCCGGAGGGGGGAAGTAGGCCGACGTCGAGTCTCCCTCAGACTTGTGTTTGGCTGCATCTATATGACAGTTGCACAAACATCCAGACACTCCATTTGCTGCATCTAAAAATATATATAAATATTGAATGTGAAGGAAACATGACCAGCAATGGTTCATTGGGTTAATACCCTATCTAATCAATAAATCATAGCATAATGATACTACAGTTACAATACATGTAAGGTTAAATGACTCATTAATCATACCACTATTACAAGCTGAGACAACGACACACGCTGGCCTCTAAATGAAGCAAGGTCAAAGTGGTCCAAAAAGTAGAACCTTTATTAGATGGAGAGTACATCACTTGATGAGATTAATGATCCCCATCACATTAACTTATGGCAGGTAAAGCTTACTCCCTTTCACTCCGGTATCTCCATGTCTTTGGAAATGGCATGTGAAGGATATGCGGTTTTCACATCACTTTTGAAAGTTCAGTCAGAGGTTTTCACATTTCTAACATTAAACAGAATAGACCCTTGGCCTCCAATAGATGTCGTGTTATATTGCATGGATAGTAGTTGTTTTAGATGATTGAGACGATTACACTGAACTACATTTATATAAACCTATCTTCCGCAAAACAGAAGTTCATATATTAGGGAGACACATTGCCTGAAATACGTTCGTGACAAAACAAACTGATTACTTGTCCTGTGGTGTTCAGTAGCAAAAGTCTTGGGTTGGCTGGATTAATATTGTATTTCAAACAGAAGAGGACACCTCACCTTCAAGAACTTTCTGCTTTCTTGCTTCTTCTTGATCTCGCTTCTCTGTCAATACAAGAAAATAGAATAAACTTTCACAGGGTGACAAATCCCCAGGTTTCATGCAAACTTTCAGTGATAAATACTTCATTCATGAAATAAGGTTGATTAATTCCCAAAATTCGAAGGATACAAACTGCATGGCAAGACTCTCACTGTCTATTCATCAGTCTACCTGTCTACTCTTCGGTCTACCTGTCTACTTCAATGTCTGACCACCTGTCTTGGCTCTCTGCCAGACTAGAGCTGAACACAGCAGGGCAGGACTCTCCCTGCCTACTTATCAGTCTACCTGTCTACTCTGTCTACCTGTCTACCCACCTGTCTTGGCTCTCTGCCAGGCTAGGGCTGAACACAGCAGGGCAGGACTCTCCCTGCCTACTTATCAGTCTACCTGTCTACCCACCTGTCTTGGCTCTCTGCCAGACTAGAGCTGAACACAGCAGGGCAGGACTCTCCCTGCCTACTTATCAGTCTACCTGTCTACTCTGTCTACCTGTCTACCCACCTGTCTTGGCTCTCTGCCAGGCTAAGGCTGAACACAGCAGGGCAGGACTCTCTCTGTCTACTTATCAGTCTACCTGTCTACCCACCTGTCTTGGCTCTCTGCCCGGCTAAGGCTGAACACAGCAGGGCAGGACTCTCACTGTCTACTTATCAGTCTACCTGTCTACTCTGTCTACCTGACTACCCACCTGTCTCGGCTCTCTGCCAGGCTAAGGCTGAACACAGCAGGGCAGGACTCTCCCTGTCTACCTGTCTACCCACCTGTCTCGGCTCTCTGCCAGGCTAAGGCTGAACACAGCAGGGCAGGACTCTCCCTGTCTACTTATCAGTCTACCTGTCTACCCACCTGTCTCGGCTCTCTGCCAGGCTAAGGCTGAACACAGCAGGGCAGGACTCTCCCTGCCTACTTATCAGTCTACCTGTCTACTCTGTCTACTTGTCTACCCACCTGTTTCGGCTCTCTGCCAGGCTAGGGCTGAAAACAGCAGGGCAGGACTCTCCCTGTCTACTTATCAGTCTACCTGTCTACTCTGTCTACCCACCTGTCTTGGCTCTCTGCCAGGCTAGGGCTGAACACAGCAGGGCAGGACTCTCCCTGCCTACTTATCAGTCTACCTGTCTACTCTGTCTACCTGTCTACCCACCTGTCTCGGCTCTCTGCCAGGCTAGGGCTGAACACAGCAGGGCAAGACTCTTTCCACTTCCTGTTGGACTCTCCAGTAAACAGTTCTGTCTCCTCTCAATACCCTTGATTATCTGACAACACAAACACACAGACAAAGTGAGGATCACTCTAAAAGGGGTTTAACGAATCCAAACCTGGCCCATTGGAAACCAATTTGCATGATGATATTAGTCTGTGAAGTAGTTACCTTGTCCATCATACTGAACTGGGAGGGGTATGGCTTGCAGGGGAAATGTACAGACACACCCCCGATCTTGTACTGCTGGTTGCCTGGTACTGTAGTCATTGTGCTGGATTGTTGTTACTGAAAAAGGTTCATTGTTCTAATCACTAAATGATTGCCATATTTAGAATCAGTGACAAGTTATTTCATCAAAACATAAACATTATTTGGTGTACACTACATTGTACATTTTCTGTAACTGCAAATGCAGCTGAAGGGATTGCACTCGTAATCAGTGGAACCGGAGCTACAACATAAACCTCGTCCAGTTTCGGGTTCAGGAGTATGGACCCTTCGCTGTTAAGGGTACTAGTTACCTTTCTGTTTTCTGATTTTGGCTAGGATGCATTTCTGTATACAGAAGCTTTCTTTGGGTACATATCTGTAGTACCCATGTCGACAACGACCCCTTCAGCGCAAATACAGTCATCAATATCATGACAACATGGGTAATTTCCTTTAGAATCACTATAAGCACATCATATGGGGAAGCTTTTTACAAGTAATGAAGTCCCAAGACCACATGTCATTTGCTCAAAATGCGAATATTGCATAAAAATAGCATACTGTTTCGGAATAGTATTAAATTACATGTACGACCATGTAACTTTAGTGTCTTGGTGGTTGAACAATTCATGTTGACAACCGATTTAAAATACCAGTATACATAATCTATACGCATCTTATACATACCAGTAGCCCGGGCGTTTGAATGCGATCTATTTGTTCTCCGAAGACGAATGAATGAGCCGTATTAGCTTATGTTATGACAATGACATGGTGAAATTGACTTGATTCATGGCAGCATCAGCAATAAATTTAATTTGTAATACTTACATCAAGTCTTGAACATAATCCAATATGTATATCGCTTTATGTTATCCTTTTGTTTCAAACTGCCATCATCATGTGTTTATTTACAGACTCATTTTTGATTGATTAATCTGATTCACCTTAGGCTTTAGCGCCATTTTACTCAAATATCAACTTCCGGGTCCGGTCGTTACAAAATATCTTCCGGTTAAAACGAAACAAGGTAGGCTAAACCTTTGGCAAGAATGAAAAGCGGAGACACAAGATAGAAACAAAGATTGTTGCAGCTATTTTCATTTTTCATAATTTTTAAATAAATTTCCGAGCCCTCGTTTCTGTCAATTGCTGTAAAAGAATATCTCGACAACTTTCTAAAAGAATTGTAAGATTTACCATCACTGAAATACTGTTGAACTAATTCAGTCTATACAACAAAAAATAATGTTTTAATCTTATCTACTTCAATCTGTCGTAAATACACAATATGGTCAAAGCCAGAATCGAACTCATATTTGTGACTTTCAGAAAGAATATCATAACTTTTCCTGAATTACCTCCCTTAGACCACGCGTATCGCCAAAATAGTTGCGGGTGAATAGACGAAGACCTTAAAAGTAGCAGCAATTGGCATTGTTGTCGATAAATCAAAAACTTTTACATGTGTCATGCTGATTCAGTCGACCATACACTTATTTCGAGTAACGACGTCTTGTAAACATTGTGTTTTCATGCTTGTATATATATGCATGACTTTAAAACGTATATCTGAAAAAAAATGCTCAATAATGAAAGTCCGTGAAAAATAGTAATTTGTGATAGTGAAATACAATGTTCCAGAATATTTTTGGTTAGAATTTTGCACTATAGTGTGATAAAAAAAGATGAAGCAGATTTGAATGTGAGTACTTAGGGAACATTGCATTGGGTGCAGTGGTTTGATCAGGGAGAACAAGAAAAGTCTCACAGGAGCTCCTCGCTTTGAAGCAAGTGTCTGCCAACAATACGGAATGCGTTTGTTAGACAACAGAATAACAAAGGGGATACAGTTTTTCGAAAAGAGGTAAGAGTGCACTAAAAATACCAAGTGCCAGCACATAATTCAGGAAACGATTTGCGTTTATCAGACAAAAGGATATCAAAATAATAGTTATTTGTTGAAAACAAGCCTTCAGTGTTTAAGTCAAATGTTTTTTGTCATACATCAACATTAGTTTGCTTCGAAAACGAGGTGAACGAATTTTTTAGTAAATATCTAGTCCCTCTTAATTTATATAAGTTTCGGACTAAGGGGCTGGTGTCTATCTCTGGTTAAACGTCGCTATGTGAATACTATTTCAGTGCTATCAGTCAGCGTGGTGTACGCTGGAGGAAGACACAGTGATGGGTATGGTGCTGACATGGACAATGATAGCCGTCGAGAGGATGCTTGGATGAACATAAATGAGAGAGTTCCGTTTGACGTCGGAAGTTAGGTACCTTTCATACATTAAAAGTAAAGGTCGGCCATATTGGATTGCCTAAATTAATATGCAAATATGCAAATGAGTAAAGTATATTCACATTTTCGAAATTGGCTTTGATCAGTGAGTATTCATGCCGAATATCTTGAATATATGGCCATTTGTTTATAAATGAATATCAATATACTAACGTTCCAAACTTTAAAAGTCAGCCCCCTTACACAGTACATGAGATATATCAGGGCGTCCCGGCTTCTCAGCGAAATATCCAAACACGGACATGGTTTTGACACGGGAGAGATATAGTTCAGATATGGAGTTCGAACCCTCGACCAGCGGATCCTGGCAACTGAAAGACGACTTCCCAGGTGCCCTGAACACGAAAAAGCAGAAAAAAAACAAAAGAAACAACAAAGGAAATCATACGCGGATCTCCCATTTTGAAGCATACTGAAAAACCCAACAAATATCAACTGAACCATTTGATGTTATGTTTTTAGCGCAAATTAGGTCCCGAATTATTTGCATTCATCACGATCTACCTCCTTTAATGGTACGTGACCCTCCCCACCTTCATCTCCCCGAGGCAAGAGAGTTAGCTGACTTTAAAAGTTCAGTTTCCACCCTTGCCGAACTTGGCTGGAATTCCTGGGCTCGATCGTAGCGCCACCAGTGGTTATTACGAGTTATGTCCCTTTTTAGCCTCTCCCATGGACCAATCAGATTCCACCTCTCGTATGACTTGCATTTGTTTAAAACAAAACGACGGCGCCCAGTCAAGACGATCTGGCCGATAACCAAGATCTATATTGTGACAGGTCTTACATCGCGAAGTGCATCAAATCACGTGAGCACCTTGATTAAAAACATGAAAAGATTGGGAAAATATCTGTTGACAACGAGTTGGCGGTGCACATGTTTTGCAAATCCTGCAATCGACCGAAATCTGCACGACAGTTTACGAACCGGATTTCGATTTCGTTGCGCGATTTTGATTGGACTATGCATAGACTCGTTAGTCCAGTAACTCCATTATACCCGCCTAGTTCGGCAAGGGTGGAAACTGGACTTTTATAGTCAGTTAACTCTCTTGCCTCGGGAAGATACCCCACCTTGGTTTCTCAACAAGCTGTATCCACGCTTGGAAACGGTGAACAAGTTGGAACCCCGTGGGGACCCGAAACACAATTGGTCCCCAACCCAGTGCCTCTCGCTTGTCGTAGAACATTCGTCACCACTCGCCCCTTTCCGTAACCTTCAAGAAGACTCGTCCCCCTATCGATAAATGTCATGTGCGAAAATACGACAAACCAATCAAAATGAGCGTGTGATATCAAGTACTTCCGTCAAAGAATCCCTCAGGAATACTGTTTGATTTTACATACCTTTTGCATCTAAACATATACCTAACATACAGTTAAATGTGTTCAATCATACTGTATAATACCTTAAGTCCCGATGTGTCTTAAATAGCATCTTGAATATATATGACATATGGGAAATTCGAAGACTTGTTTACCCAAATGTTCCATGATATAGTTGAGATATTGTGATGAATTATTGTCGACTGAAATAATTCACTCACTCGCTCACAAATCAAATTCGGAGAGCATTCGGTGTTTTTTTGCTCGTAAACGCAGCAACTGATATATTGCGTAAGGTTAAACGGAAGGACCAGTGGTACAGGAGATGAATAAGGAGGTTTCATAAAGAATGGAATACAGTGAAATAATGAATTTCTTCGCACTCCACATGTGTCATCAGTAGCACCGCCATCAAAGAACGCCGGACGCGTTTTCCTTTAAAATAAATGACAGGGGATTACTGGCATTGACGCTAATGGGACAAGTTTGTCTCGAATGAAACCGCGGTCCTGGATCCTATCACATAAAAATCATCATAAAAGTAATGTTTTGAGTGATAAATAGATACGGCTTGAAACCACCGAATAGAGTTGTCGGATTGGAAAAGTGGCGTTTTTGAAGAAACGGAGGAATGTGAAAAAGACAACACTTTAAGAGCCCTTGGTTCATTTGTTTAAACAACACAACGTGTTCACGTGTGCACCAGCGCAATCAATCTGAGGGAACATATTTGGCTATTTGACACAACCTCAAAAGAAGCACTCATTAGCGGACACTGCTTGTCTTTACAACACAATTTGTAGCTTCAATGTCTGCTGCCTCTGCAACAGCTGAGGACGCTGCAACAGTTTACACATGCACAGCAGACTTGAACATCCCCCAGCTTGTGACCCGCGCTCTCATTTCGTTCAGACAGAAGGTGCCAGGCAGTACATGGGGCTAATGGTTATAGATTATCAAAAACCAAACCCCCACCCCCCACCCCCCCACCCCCACCCCCACCCCCACCCCCACCCCAACTTTCTAGTAAATACATAAGAAATGACAGTTGAAAAGAAAATGACTTTGTCTGCCACAATAATTTCAATGTTGCAAGGTGTTTCTATTTATTTTTTAGGCTCATAGTTTTTTTTTAATTAACTGGTAAGCATCTGTAGCTGAAAAATATCTAATCTCGATCCAAATTCAAACCCCCACCCCGACAAACACATCCCCACCCCCAAAATGGTTGGTCGCTTTAAGCATAAAGGCATTCAGAAGTTGCCATAGAAACGGTTTTACTCACATGTGCATTTCTTAAAGGTGTAATTTGGTATTGAAAATGTATATTACATCTGTGCAAATTTGTTTCAGTTGTTGTATGTTTCGTCATACATATCATTTATACATACTTAATCAAATATGTGTTTACCGATAGATAACAGTAGCTGTCGGTGCAACCAAAGTGCACCTCTTCCGCAGTGACATGTACGCGTGGGAAACAAATGGTGTTTGTCTATGGTATAACATTTATATATGTGGAAAAGCATTATGGAATGACACTGGTGTTTTATGGAAAAAGCAAATGGTGCTTGTCTATGGAATAACTTTGCTGTGTGCCTATGCAAAAGTATTGGTGTGTCTCTTAGCAACAGAGTTGGGTATTTGTCTTCCAGAACAGAACTGAAATAACACTGGTTCTCATCTATCGCGTGTGTCTTTGTCTGGATTTATCTATGGGGTAACCTTGTTTTTCCTCTTTGTGACCACGTCTGTATATATTTGTCTATGGGAACACTGACAACTGCCAAGGAAAAAAACATGGGTGTTTCTCTATAAACTAACATTACTATTCACCTGTGGGGAAAACTTGGTACTTGTCTATGGGAACATCATTTATGGTCGTCTCACCATAACACTGGTATCTGGCTAGGGGACAACGCAGTAATGTGTCTATAGGACAAACCTGGCATTGGGGACAAAATTAATTTTTGCGTATTGGAAAATCATTGGTATCTGTATATGTGAGTGAGAGAGTATGATTCCAAGCCGCTTTGAGCAATATTCCAGCGATATCATTGCAGGGAACACCAGAAATTAGCGTCACACGCGTGGGATAGAACCTAGGCTTTCTGCCTGACGAAATTCAACCACTAGGCTACCCCCCACTCCCTACGAGACCGAAATTGGTTATCTTTATCATGGCCAATGATCACATCACATTCCCCATCAGCACCTGAACCAACTGTTGAATAACACCGTTCCCTAACAATCTGCAATATTCTTCATTCAAGTGATGTTGATCGTTTGTCCGAGGTCACCTTTGACCTCCTTTCGACAATCCGTTCCTTTGCCACATGTGTTGTAAAACAAACTGGCACGCTCACACACGTCCTCGATAAAGAACTCTTCGCCCCTTTCCGTAAACGATTTGTTATGTCCCGGAACGGCACGAGTGCATCCGAATGCAAAGAACGCAGACTTCCTCAGCAGGAGAACACCCACCACCATCAGCCCCCAGACGGACAAGTGTTGCTTGGTTTTAGACACTACAGTGAATTTAGACCTCAACACCTTACAAGAGCCACGTGTTTAGGATGATAGGCAAATCCTCGCAATGCCCTAACTTTCACCCCAACCAGGTCCTTTCCCCTCGTACCGAAACAGACACCAGCCTACGGCAGACCGCAGGCACTTCGGAAAATGCAGATCGCAACACCCCACGACGACTTCTGTCTGGGTGGGGAAAACACTCCCCCAGAGAGACGCCAGTCGATGCTACCTCCCCATTTCACCTCAAGTGTGTTTTTTCCCCACAAAATAAATACATTGTAAACATGCCGAGATGTTCCTTTGGTCACAAGAGCGAGACCCGCACTCCTACCCGTTCTTAAACAAGCAGTCTGAAAAAATGATGGCGGAATTCAGGGCTCTGTTAGAGCATGAAACGAGAAGAATAGCTTTCGTAGATTTTGTGCGTGGGTGCGTGCGTGCGTACGTGTTGTTTATCGCTGTAATCTGGGATTTTACAGTCTGTCAAGGCGGATCCACAGTACCATCTGGCGACAAACCAGGGTCACTGCGGACCTATATTCTAACCCGTTTGTTTGTTTGTTGTTTAACGCCACAGTCAGTAACATTCCCGCTATATGACGGCTGTCTGTAAATGATCGAGTCTGGATCAGACAGTCCAGTGACTGACATCATGATCATCGATCAACGCAATTGGGATGCCATGCCATGCATCAACCAAGTCAGCGAGCCTGACCACCCGATCCCGTTAGTCGCTTCTTACGACAAGCATAGTCGCCTTTTACGGCACGCATGGGTTGCTGAAGACCTATTCTACCCCGGATCTTCATGGGTCTCTAACCCGTAATCCCGGCTGAGAATAATAAAACAATGAGCATGTCTCATCAACGCTGACGTTGGTTTGGGTGTTTGTTGAGGGTGTATGCAGACTGTAATATAATGTTCGGGCAACTGAAGAATCGAAACTATCGTTGATATCAAACAAACAAGTCCTTGTGGCACCCTTGTTATAATTGACCCGCAGAAAAACGTTACCATCTAACTTTGTTGGTTCCG